TAATTGTACTATTTGTTGCTTTACCACGCGACATTTTGGAGCCAATAATTGATAATCGAATTAATTCTCAAGTTAAAATGTCAAAATAGAAACACTTTTTTTGTTTCCATGGCTTGCTATTATTTGTTTTACTAACGTGTCCGAACATTTATGTGTCAGCAAATACCTATTGCATTTTTACCAACATTAGTTTAGTTTTATTAATCAATATTAGTTTATTTGAAAATAATTTCATAAGTATGATGTAAACAATACATATTATGTCTTATAAATGAAAAACATATGATATTGAATCCCTTAAGGAAATTTTCAAACTTTTTCGCAAAATCAGTTGATGTCCGAACATTTTTGTGTTAGGGCTCGTAGAATATTAATTGCATGATTTGCAATAACAGTCAAATACTAATGAAAATGTCAGGTTGTGTGAATGGTTTATTTTAAACATTTTGGATTACGGTACGGCTTCCGAAATATTTTGAAATTTCGGCATGCCTAGAACGAGCTGTAGTGTTGCTGTTAGTAAACATTTTTTTTATTTTTTACACCCAAAAATCATTAGATTAGAAGAAAGAAGAGTCTAAAGTGAAATTAAAGGCTATGGTAAGATTGTAGAGTATTATTCTGCAAATATCTTTCACTATTATTAAATTAATTTCAGCTTTGCCAATCCTACATTTAAAATCAGTTGAGATGGTTTCTTACAAGCATTAACCACAACCCGAAGCAAGAAAAGTCAAAGGGCTTTACTATGAAACCTACAACTATTGAAAAAGGGATTGCTACAGGAACTTTTTAGTAAAAAGTAGTTAAAATAATTTTATAGAAGAAAACAAGGGCCTGTTTGACTTAGAAGAAACATACAATGTACACACAACCAAACTTATATGGAATCACTCAGTAATTTCGAGAAATAGAATTTAATTTGAAAAAATTCATTGAGGATTAAAGTGCAGTGTTTCCAAACGAAGTTTATTACAAAAATAAATAAAAATTATTACACTTAATTTTTCTAAAAATGACAATTTAAACAAGAAATAATGCTATTTAAATAATTTTAATAACCAGTATTGCCACCTCTTGCATCGATGTCAAGTTGTTAATTTCTTCTTGGGGAACATTTGTCCATTCCTCTAAAACCGCTTGTATAAGTTGCTCTGTATTACCAGGGTTATTTTGACGAGCTCTAATCTTTCTTTTGATCTTATCCCATAAGTGCTCTATAGGGTTAAGATCCGGTGAGCAAGAAGGCCACTCTAAAACTGCTACACCTTCCGTTTCTAAGAAAAATTTTGCAATTCTGCTGGTATGTGGAGGTGCATTTATCTTGCATAAATAAAAAATAACTAAAACCACCTCGGCAGAGCCTGACTACAGGTGGAAAAACTAAATCAACATACCTTTGACCTGTTAGGGTTTGTCGAATGGGAATTAAAGGAGTTCTTTCACCAATCATAATTCCACCCCAAAAGGTTACAGTACCTCCTTTCTATTTCGGGATAGTTTTGACAGCATGGAGTCTAGCTTGTCTCCCTCTACCTCTTCAAATGCTGATTCGCCAGTTATCGGATCGTAGGCCGATTCTGGTTTCATCCGAAAATAAGACATTTTTCCTATCTTCAATAGTCCAATTTTTATGCTCCAAACACCAATTTAAACGGTCAGTTTTATTTTGCCTTGAAAGTTCTGGAATCCTAACTGTCTTCTGCTAAATAATTCCCGAGCGCGAAGTCTTTTTCTGATCATTTCGACAGAAACACTCGCACCTGTAGCTTACAAAAGTTTCCTTTGAAGCTCTGGATGAGATGTTGTGAGATTTCTTCTTGCGATTTGAGCTACAAAGCGATCCTGCCCTTTTGTAGTTACTCCTCCACGACTTTTCCTCGGTCTATTCTTTAGGATTCCTAATTCCAGAAACCTTGAATAGGTTTTTTAAACAATCCCTTGTGTAACCCCCACCGTTCTTGCAATCTGTCGTTGTGACATGCCTTGTTATGCCAGAACAATAATTCTTCCCCTCTGGACTTCCAATAACCCCAGGTACGGCATTTTTTTTAAATGTGCGAGAAGAAATAAATTATAAACTCAATGCGACTTGCAAACGAGTAAAATCGACACTACCAGGACAAATTTTATCTAGTTATTTTATTTATCTATCTATTCTTGTTAATAAACACATGTACTTTTTCATCTTTAAAAAAAAAGTACGAATATTTCATATTAATACTGGATGATTCCATATAAGTTTGGTTGTGTGAACATTTATATTGGAAAATAAAACATATATGTTAGTGATACTCCCCTTGTACCACAACATTATTGACCATGTGTCACTGTCAATTGTCAATACTCCTGGCAAGTCAGGACGGACGAACGGAGAGCAGCGGAGGGGAGCAGCAGTCCGAGTCATAGCTCGACCGCGTAGCCACGCAATACAATATAGAATAGTGTAATACTAATAAATAAATAGTTGTGGTGGTTTAATGACTTTTATTGGGGTTAATTATCCCTTACCTTAACATATATTTTGTCAGTATCTAGTTATTTGATGTGTATGAACTATGAACAGTATAATGTACTTAAAAAAAAAACAATAAAACAACCCAGTTTATGTATTATATAATAATCGGGCACGGTGGTGTAGCGGTCTATCGCGCTTATATTCATTTATAGGCAAGTTTATGAGTCTGAGACTGCTGGGTTTCGAATCCCAGACCAGACCATGTGGATTTTTAATTAAATTGCATGGTTCGGTTTAGGATTTGATGTGTGGCGTATTAATAGAAATTCAATTTCTGTTGATATGACATGCAGATTAAAAAAATTCGCCATACATTACCGTCTCGATGATGGTGGGTGAGGTTTTCCGGGTTTTCCTCACCTGTAAGTCAAATGGCACCATCAATCATCTTTAAGTCGCCCCGGAGCGCCACGGCAAATAATAATAATAGCCGTCCCTTTCCCCGGACAAGCTCAGCTTTTGGGGTTAAAATTCACTCGTAAGGGGGTGAATTAGGGAGAGTATTATTATTATTATTATTATTATTATAATCTATAAATAGGTACCCAATTACATAAAAACATTTTTATTATCTATTGTGTTTATATAAATTAAACGGATATCTAACTAAATAAATAACACATTTGTGCAGTTGATAATCACTATTATTAATAATACTATTAAAATAATTACACATACAATACACGTAGAAGTATTTATGAAATGTAGTAGCCCAAGTACTTCATATTCCTTCTGGTAAAATTCGGACATTGAACAAACCATTATCAGCAATTCAGTCTTTAACATTCCAGAAATACGTATCACTAGCACAACATCATTCAAAAGACCACATCTAGATTTATTTTAGTAGCGCGCTTTTGTAAAGTTGAAATTCCCAGCAAGGGATACTTCAGAGTATTTCTGAGGTAAAGATAGCACCTTTTACTCAAATATCTTATCTTGAATGCTTTAGAAAATTTCTTCTGAACTCCAAAATGCCCTTGTTTTCTTCTTTAAAATGATTTGTAACTCATTTTTCCTTAAAACTTCCTATAGCAAACCCTTTTTTCAATAATGTATGTTCTTTTCGTAAAGCCCTTTGACTTTTCTTGCTCTGGGTTGGGTTTAATGCTTGTAAGAAAACATCTCATCTGATTTTAAATGTAGGGTGGGCAAAGCTGAAGTTAATTTAATAATATAATGATTTTTGTATGTAAAAAATAAAAAATTGTTTGCCAACAGCAACACTACAGCTCGCCAAAATGTCTAAATATTTCAGGATATAAACAAAGTGTGATCCGAATTCGCCTCGGAAGCCGTACTTTATTAATCCAAAATGTTTAGAATAAACCACTCACATAATAATATTTCTCTTTATAATTCAAATAAAAAGTAATTCGTTGAAATTTGATGGAAATCATTACATGATTTTTCCATGCCGTTTTGTAGCTTATCTTTCAAAAAAATCAAATTACCGACTTTATAAAAACTCTATCACAGGTATATAGTCCAAAAATAAAAATATAAACACCACTAAATTTTAATACATTTAAAAAAAAAAAATAATATACGAACCGCAGCAGAATATTTTCTGTCAGCTCGATTTTTCATTCCACTCTTCCTTAGCAACGGACGGAAAAGGCCACCATGTTGTCTACGAACCGCGAGCTGCACATATATGAAAAGATGAAGTGCATTCGAAAAAACAACTCTAGGACTGGGTTTATTTCTAGGAGCGTGTGGGCCACGCCGGTGCTGGTTCGAATAAGTTAATCTTAAAAAATATTAAAATATAGTTTCTAAAAAGAACATTTTAAGCTTTAAAAAGTCACAAAGACAATTTTTTTGAAAAAAGAATTATCCTTTTTAAAAAAGGACAGGTGGCAACCCTACTGGAGCTAGATTTGACAATAATTTAAGAATTCCATCTTTTCAACGTGACGCAAATCAAAGATTCATAACATAGCTGGATCCTAATATGCATAGCTTATTGCCGCATAATATCAGAAATATTCAGGGTCTGAATTTATTTAATAACATATCGAGAGAGTAGACAATATACATTATTATTACCTCTAATATTGGTATTTTCAGTGATGCACACAATAATTTAAAAAACATATCTGTATTGTAAGGTTCTTTATTTTTATCTAAGTTAGTATTTTATTTATACTTATAAATAAACTTCATTTTTTGTACATGCAGATGCTTGCATCTAGGTGCACTAAATTTATTTTTGATTTTTCTAATGTTAAATCATTTTAATATATTGCATAATTGGATTATTTAAATAAATAAAAAATAAATTATCCATATACTTTAAAAACCATTGTTTCTAATGACTAGAATAATTTTATTATAAAACCAAAATTCTATATTTTCTGGAAAAAATCCATCAAAACTTATTTCCGATCTTTAAAAATGATTTTTCTTGATCTGGAAATTGACAATTTTTAATCCAGGACTTTTTATCAAAAATATAATATTTAAAACTTTTTTTTAGGTTGTATGCTCACAATTGGCAGGTCCAATTACATGAGATTCAACCATCCAGCCGAAGCGAAACTTATGAAATCGGTGTTACCGAATCCCAGAATCTCAATGGCACCAATCAACTTCGAACCGGACAGTTCCTTCATGAGTAAGTTCAACAAGAAGCCTCCAGTAGCTCCTCGGAAAAGTCCAAGAGAATCTCTTTCAGACAGCGGCAGCGACGAGCCTCCGTCTAGCGTGGTGACCAAAGTCTCAAAATTCGAATATCTGGCAGCTCAAAATTATAAGAAATCCATATCGCCGAAAGTTTTCCCGTCTAATGTCGTTACCGTTAATACTCCAGTTAAAGATGTGATAGGTAAGCAAGCCAATATTGTTTATTTTTAAGAATTATTTTTTACTGATATCTTGGAAGGTGCTAGTTTTAGAGCTCGCGACGAGGTTTTTCGACCTCACTACTGCATTACAATTTAAATGTTTTCATAGTTTATGTCAAGTCAATTGAATTGCGAGGATACCACAAGAGGTGAGAATCTTCTCAAAAAAAAATCTCGTCTTGCGTGGTATTTTGAAAGATTATTTAATGATATAAACATAACTTTTATAAACAACATTTGCTTTGTTTCCATAAGATGAATGTATATTTGAACAATCGCAACGATATTTGTCCATTTTTCGCAAAATGTAAATTTCTTCTATTAACCATATTTAACCATTTAGTTTCTTTAAATTTAGTAGAAATGTGATCATATTTACGAATTCCAAATATTTTTGAATTTTTCCAGACTCGAAAATGTTTAAACATGGATCATATACAATATCACAATGATTAAAATTTGATAATACTAGTGAATCACATAAAAAAATTTTTTACATCTGGTGATAGAAAATATCCTTGCGCATATATTAGTTTCAAACTTGCATAAGACAATTTTAATTTTGATGTAATATGTTGTTCAAACTTCAATTTTGAATCTACAGTAAGTCCTAAGTTTTTACATTGCGTAACAATTGGATAAACACGTCATTAATTTTTAATAAAGTCGAGGAGATTACGGAATCCCTAATTGACTCATTACAAAAAATCATTGCTTTGGATTTTTTAGGATTAATTTTTAGTGAATGATTTTTAGATACATTAAAGATTTCATTTAGATCAAAATTAATATCCTGTATAGATTCATTTAAATTGGAGTACTTAAAAGATTAGTATAATTGGGTGTCATCAGCGTATAAATTATTATTACAGTATTTAAGTATAATTGGAAATTGTGAGGTATAGAGAGTAAATAAAAAAGGGCCTAAAATACTACCTTTGAGATACACCAGATGTAATCTCCAACGGTGTGGAAGACATATTATCTATTTGAACAATTTGTTTTCGCTGGTAAAGATATGATTTTAATAGAGATACAGATGTATTATTAAATCTAAAAAACTTCAACATGACAAGTAAAATTTTATGATTTATATTATCGAAAGCTTTCGAGAAATCTAATAGTATTAAGATAGAACTCTTGTCTTTATCCATAGCTCTAATTAAATCATCTATAACATCCGCTAGAGCTGTAGCACAGCTGTGGCCTGACCTAAAACCAGATTCAACAAAAGTGTAAAATGATAATATTAATATCATCCATTCCGTAAGCTTTAGATTTGATGTTGTATTGACAACATCTTCCGAAACACCATTAAAATAAAAATCTTCAGTAATTTTCTTTAAAATTGTTAAGGTAAAAATGTTGTAAGCAGAGTTATTTTTTTTAAGTAAAAAATTTGTTAATGGCATTAACATCTTTTAGGTTTGGAGGTATGTCAATTTTTTTTGTCTCGATATATTGAGTTTTTTTAATTCTGACCATTTTTCCTTAATATTACAAGTTTGAAATTTAAAATTTAAGTAAGTCCTTTTTTCTGCTTTTATAGCTGTTGTTGTGTAGTTTCTTAAACAATTATAGTAATCCCAATGCGTTGGAAGTTGTATTTTGCGAAATTTTTGCAAGGTTTTATCTTTAAGCCTTTGCATATAAATAATATTTTCAGTAATCCAGGGAGAATGTTTAATTAGTTTTCTAGTTTTTGATTTTTTTTGAGCATGTATATCTAAAACTGTAATTATGTAGCTATTTAAAAACTCTACTTTTTTATCAATGTTTTCAGTAAAATAAATATTGTACCAGGGCATAGATGCCAAATTATTTTGAAAATGTTTATGATTAATCTTTGAGGTAAATTGTGAAAATTTTTAAATTTGCAGTTTATTGCTGAATGATCCGCAACTAAATTATGATTAACAAATTCTGTACAGAAATTGATATTAATATTAGTAATAAATAAGTCTAACAAAGAGTTACCCCTTGTTGGTTCTTTAATTATTTGTATTAGATCAAATGTTTCAAGTATCTTGTTAAAACGAATTGGAGTAGATTCATCAATATCCAACATGTCTATATTAAAATCTCTTACACATATAATATAATCAACATTTTAAAAATGTTGGAAAACAAAGTTTCAACTTGATCCAAAAACAATCAATTATTACCTCTTGGTTGCCTATATACAGTACCTACTGCTATTATTAAATCCGCCACACAGATCTTAATCCATAAATATTCTATAACATCATTACATTCAGAAATGATTAAATTACATCTTAGTTGCTCCCTTATATACATACCAACACCTCCGTCTCTGGCTGGTGAGTCTATCTTGTCTAATAAATTTATAACCATTTAAATGTACCAAATTACTGTCTATTTCTGGGTTTAGCCAGGTTTCGGTGACCCCAACAATGTCACGTATCAACAACATAATTATGAAAATCAATAAAATGCGGTACTAGCGATCGAACATTTACATGGGCTACATTAAACTTGTGCAGAGTGTCTCTGTTCAAGTCATTTGTGTTAAAATAACACTTTTAAAAACATGCGTATTGTTTGCCCTTAATTTTCCCTTCAAATAACTCATCTCGCTTTATCCATGCATTCAATAAGTGCATACTGTATTACCCATCCTGCGAACAACGAGTTCATACAGCCGCACATACCCTATATATAATACAAGTTAACAATATTGCCTCATCGACCAGTGCTAAAGATTACGTATACACCGGCTAAAAGTTGAAAAATAATTCTTCAGAACATTCCAGACTCGAGTAAGCCACGCCCACTCACACAAGATTCAACCAGAAAAATTCACCGCTACTTGGATTCGCGCGCAGCAACCGTTCAACAGAAAAGATGTCGCGAAGACGACACCTTATCCCAGTTTAGTCAACATATAGTGCCCAGTAAATTCCCTGTAAACACATATTTCTGCAACCATGAACTGAATTTCTGAAGCACGAAAGCTTGTGTACATATGTAAAAAGTATTTAGACAGTAGTGTTAAATAATCAAAGATATAAAAAAAATGAGTCATAGTAGTTATCGCGGCACGTTAGTTGTTTTTTTTTTTTTTTTTTTTTTGTTTTTTCATTGAAGGTGAATGTGATGAATCTGGAAAAATGAAAACTGACTTTTTCTGTCTAGCACGGCTGGCCGGTGGAGCGAGAATGGAAATTTTAAAACCAGTTGAAATTTCTGCAGTCACGGCGTGGTAGTTTTCCATTAAATTACATATTTTAAATTGCAAAGAACACAGTAAAAATAGAAACTGATAATTTTACAGTTGCCCTGTGATGTATTTTGTCCAATTTTTGAGCCCCTGTAGAGACATCGCGCTACGTCCGTTTCCAAGCAGAGATCATGGGTAATAATCCAAAAAAACGTTAAAAAAATTAAAACTGACAATTTCAACCGACAATGTCAACCTTGCGGATTAGAGAATAAAAAATTTTCGTCGCGTTATAAAGACAAAAATGTTGCTATTTCCGTTCATTTTCCGTTTATTAGTCACAGATATTATTATACAACTTATTCTACTAGAACTATCAAACAAGATTAACTATATTCTACATTCTAAAAGTAGGAAGATTATAAATACAATTATATGAAATTATAGACATACCTATACACAATAAAATAGAATATATAGTAAAATTTGATCCCGAGAACGCTTATTTCCACTAACATTCTACGGACATTTCATTTTAAGAACATTTAATCCCCAGAACACTTGATCTTACAAACTTTTCATATCCTGAACACTTGATCCACGTACATCTCATTCTTCAGTACAACCACAGCATGAGGATGTGGTACAATGCATGTTATGCTTTACTACCAACCATACAATAAACCAATCAAAATCGCAACCAATAAATAACAACAAAAAAAACGATTTTACTCTGTTAAACAGCCAACTTATCGATAAAATATAAAAACAAAAATAATATATAAGTGGGATGAAATATTCGTGGGATAAAATGTCCGTAGGATAAAATGTCCGTGGGATGAAATGTCCGTGGGATGAAATGTCCGTGGAAAGAAATCTTAGTGGGATGAAAAAATGTTCGTAAGTGTTAATTATTTTGGACATATATTGATCTTAGACAACTTCTACAATCTTCTAAATTACACCTATAAACTTAAACAAATTAAAAAAAAACACAGCTATGACACGAGCCAAAGACTAAATAAATTTAATCATCACTAAACATAAATTAATAGGCAAAAAGTACTATATATACCTCTCCTTAAAAATTGTTAATTCCTTTTATTGGTTACGAATATGTTAAAATGTATCAGACTTTTGAAATATAACGTAAGTTAAATGTAAAAAGTAATTCTGTAATAGTTATTTATGTACCAAGTCAGCAAAGTGATTCTTTATCGAACTAGTCTGAGATTATGAGCCGAGCGAAAGAAGCGAGCGAGGCGAGTAACAGACGAGGTCAATAAAGACAACTTTACTGACGTGGTCCATACAAACTTATATCGCCAGCCATAAATAATTATAATTAGTAAAAAAGGAGATATAATACATCAAATTTTAGTATAACAGAGTAAACAAACAGAAAAATAACAACGAATACAAAAAAAAATCAGTTACAGACTATTTCTGTTAAACGCTCATGGTTAGGTTGATAAATATTAGCGGCAGATAAAATATTTGATTTTTACAGTGAGATAAAGTGTTTGTTTACTTCCGCCAATCTCTATGGTAATGCATGGCTTTATTGACGGTTGACGATAAATAAATGTTAAATTTTAACTGTTATCGTATTAATTCATTTATATCGCAAAAATATTTTCTGTAAGCAGAAATATGTTAAAATTTTAACATAAATGTGTTAATTTTAAGCGTTAATAATTGGAAATTAAGAGGTACCCTTTTAGTTGGCTTTAAAATTTAACATGGAAGAAATCATGATTTTTTTAATTGTTTAATTCATGAATTTAGGCATTTTAGTACGCAAATAGTTTGACAAGTTGAAATTACACAAGTTGCCTGATTATATTTTCAAAATTTATAGAAATGTCAAGTAGATTCGCTAAAACATATTTTTTTTAATATAATATGACAACTAAAGTCATTGGGAATAAGCCTTCTATTATGCAGAGGACTCCTAACACCATGTCTGGTGCTATTTCTGGCGTAAAAACAAGGTATGTACCTGAGGCACTATACCCGTATATCCAATGTTGGGCAACCTTTATTTGGCACTTGTTGATTGTGTCAACTCTTGTGTAAGACATAAACTCTTTTTTGGCACTTTAGAGAAGATATATGTTTATATAACAAAGTTTTCCTCTCTTGAAGCTATTCCAAGCAATTCATATCGAAGTTATTCAAGACAATACACAGCTAACCTTAAAGAAGTTATCGATAACCAGGTGGGCTAGCCATAAAAGGGCCGTTGATGCGTGTTTCCAGAACATTGTAGCCGTTGATAAAGCCTGCGAAAATAGTAGTTTGTGCAACAAGAGTGGCTAACATTATAGTTTTAATACTCGTAATTCAATTGATATCATATAGTTTTATTAAAATTTATAATTTATTTGTAAATGTAGACGAAATATAAATTATATTATTATCGATTCTACAAAGATTAACTCATTTTAATGTATATTAAATTTAATCTCGATAACAAAAAAATATACTGACAATTAGCTTGACAGAAATAGTAGCCGGTTGACGGATGACCAAAATATGAACTGTGATTGGTGGATTTCATATTTGTGCAGTGTTCTTACTAGGTAGAATGAATATGAAATATATTCGTTCAGATGAACGCAATGGCATACTTTTATAGTCTGTGCGTAGAATAGCTAATATTCATGGAAGTGTAGAAAAAGAGATTTTAGCTGGCATCACTGCAATTTCTGTTGACTGTTGAAATATTATAATATTTTCGCTAATCTCCAAATAGTATTTCTATTTATATACATATCTCATTATCCGATTTAAAAAAATACAAAAACTTTAAGACAGAACTTTATGGGCAATTTAAGTTTTTTACCGACTTCAAAAAAAAAAAAAGGAAATGGTCTCAATCTGTCGAAATATTTTTTTTATGTTTGTTTAGCGATAATTCTTTACTGAGTTGTCCTATGATTTTTGTTATAAAGGTTGTACCTCAGAGGTGGTCCAATATAAATTTGGTCAAAATCTGATAATTCGATCCATGAGAAAATCATCAAACTCTTATTTTCTTATGTATATTCAACTATAATTTTTTACTATTTTTTTCCTCGGGAGTGGTCCCATATACATTTGGTCAAGATCTGATTATGGGATCTATGAAAAACAGCATCAGCAGGATTTTGGAGTCGGTTTTTTAATTTTACTTTTATAACTTGTTAACCTTCCGCTAGTCGCGTCAAAAAGCTTTCGGGATTGGTCGCGCATGTATCTGATAGATACATTATCATTTTTAGGGTTCGAAATAATACCGAAAATTAGAAAACTGCTTTATTTGAACATTTTTGCTCTACAAAACAAAAAAGAATAGACATAATTATAAAATAATCAAATTATTCATAAATATTTGCATTATTTGCCCAGGAACACAATCTTTACAAATACTTTTACAGTGATCAAGGCACAAAGGTTTTGAACATTTTACAGAGAAAAATTTTATAAGACGGGATTTTTTGTTTGTGAATAGCACGGACTACATCTTTTTATTTTTCTGGGTACATCCTCATTTTCGTGTAGCACAGGAGCAGGGATATTTTCAGGATCGGCATCCGGCAGAACTTCTACGTTTGTCACTTGTCATCTTTGGATCTCAGGTTCGGTTAACTGCTTAGCCAGATCATGTAAAAAACTTTTTCTACTTTTTACTTTGTTTTGGTTTCCAACAAAAAGTATTTGGGAATTAATTCCACCAGTGTTCAGCATAGAAAAAAACACCACCATCGGCCAGCGTTTTGTGTTCCGGGCAACGTCATAGCTTGCACACATTCTGTCCATAGTGTCTACTCCACCTTTAGTTCCGTTATAAAATGTTATGATCTCCGGTTTCTGTTGTTCATTTGTTGATAAGTCTATTGTATCATCAAAATGAATACTTGATAATAAAATAACATTTTTGTTCGATTTTGGTACATACGAGACTAGAGTACAATTTTTCTGAAACTCAAACAAACTAGATGGAACACTTCGTTCTTTGATATCTTTGAATGCACTAGGTATTGGTTGGTGGCTTATTTTTCTTCAGAGTGTCTACAAGAGAGAGTTTATTTTGCCTAAGATCTTCTACTAAATCATAGCTTGTGAACCAGTTGTCAATCGTGACGTTACGGCCAGAATTATGAATAGGAGTAACAAGTCTCTTGACCACATCAACTGGTTTATTGCTTATGCCATATGGTCCTTCTGGTTGTTGTCCAGCATATATCTCCATATTGTAGGTATAAGATAGTTTTGCGTCTACAAGGGCAAAGATTTTTATGCCATATTTAGACGGCTTAGAAGGTATATACTGGCGAAAAGCACAGCGTCCTCTAAAGCTTCTAATTTCTCATCAATAGTCACGTTTTGGCCCAAAGAGTATGATTTTTGGCAATTTGTCACAAATGCCTCGAAAATATTCCTTATTGCTGCCAAGCGGTCGATTTTTTTTCTCTCGTCTCTCGTTTCCCTGTCATCAAACCTCAAACAGCGCATTATGAAACGAAATCTCCTCAAACTCATGGTCTTCCTAAACCTCTGTACGCCATCCTCTGACCATAGTTCATCCAAACTTAGTCGATTGGCATGGTAAACGCCACTAAATATAACAAACCAATAACTGCCTTGATTTAAAAAATATTGGTTATTTTAGCATCTCTAGGTCGAGTAAATTGTATTTGAATACTTTGAATGTATTTATTGGTACATTCAATAATCTCCTGCAGCATTGTATCGTCAATCAATAAGTTCCAATTTTCGTATATCCCATTAGCATGTTTAGCGGTTTCAATAGGTAGTTGCATAAGAATATTTTGAGAAGGGTTTCGTCTTCTTTGTGAAAGGGGATGTTTTTGCCATTTCCACTCATTCACTACAACATTCTTTTTCTTTTGAACAGGAGTAAAATGTACTGCATTTTCTTCTTCGTCTTCTTCACTCACACAATAATCACTTTGTTCGCTGTAAGAATTTTCTTTCCGGTCCTCAAAACAAACAGACGCGTCTGTATCACTGTTTTCGTCTTCTATATCTACTCTTTCATCTTCATCATCACTTTCTGTTGTAACAATAGATTTCTAAGATCCTCACTGTGCTTTTCATTGTTCAAATCATGCTTTTCACGTCCAAATTCCATTTTATTGCCTAAAAACAATAAAAGTTACGTTAATGGTCGCATGTATCTCCTAGATACATATAATATTTTTTATTATCAGCCAATGCAATTGAAGGATGTAATTTCACACAGCAAATAACTATTCAATTTACCTTTAAAACTAGTAAAAATATGCAAAGAAAAAACATTTATAAAACTTACCGCAAGACTCGCGTGTATCTGTGAGATACAAAACGCCAACATTTCAAAACCACTTATATGTACCAAGCCGATTCGTGGCATTCATGCACTATTCGAAAGATGCCCGTAAGCGAGGAAGCTACTGGAATGGTGGGAGTAGTCGGCGCCTAAACTACCGGAGAAGGGGAAATGAAAGCACTTCATGTATCTACCAGATACACGCGACTAATGGAAGCCGACGGAAGGTTAAATAAGCAGATGCAATTGTCAATGGTTTTTTCTAATCGTAACATTAAAAAATAAAATTACATGGATCCAACTTTATGGAACACACTGTATTTCAGTTAGACAGATATTTAGTTTACTCGATGGAAAGCGCATACGACTAGGCTCCATAACATTTTCCAGTTCTGTGCAACGCGGAAATTATTAGTTTCACTTATTTTCCGATGTGTTAAACCCTATGGAATGTGCCGATATAACTCGACCAGTAATTTTTTAACAACTGATAACACTATTATCAGTTTTCTGCAACGCACATAATGTCAGTTCTTGATTAATAGGATTTCAACAAAAACAGACGGAATGCTATAACTTTATTACATCGATAAAATTTTACCGACGGAAAACCGATTTTCATCCGTTACGCAACTTAATAAATAAAGTTATTACTATTGACTTCAATTAATCATTTTTTTCGTGTGTCATCGGCTTCAACTGCTAAGGTTATTTCGCTTCGTGTTCTGTGTAGGCTTTATAACTGTTTCCCAGTGCCACTTTAGGAACAGCACTGTTAATTAGAACCCAACAGTGAATGGTCGAGTGGGGAATCCTACTAAGGCATCAGAATTAATTTTAAATAATTAAGAGAGACTACCACTGAGCCACCCACCTCCTTTTATGGAATTGCCGTGAGAATTACTCTTGCTGCGATAACTCGAAATGTTGGTCTCGTACTATACCGCTTCGAATAAATTTAAATAGTAATTTTATTTTGTTTTTTTTGCAGGTAGAGCACCTCCCGATCTAACCAGTTTCACCAAGAACTTACCTCAAAGCTCCCTAAATTACGCCGAACTCAACTACAATGAGAAACTCCAAGGAAAAAACACCAATCAACCCACGTTCTCAAAAAAAATCCATCAAAGCCAGTATGTCAACGTTACCGTTAACGAAACTAAAAATATCAATAACAGGGTGATAATTTTCGAAAATGGCTGCGTCCCGAAGAATCCAAATGTCAATTATGAAAATGGCTGTATACCGAAGAATCCAAACGTCAATTTCGATCATAACGAACTGAATAATAAGACCTCTAGTGCGAATAAAAACATTAACGTTAGCAGGGTGGTTACTCCTTCCCCTAATTTTAATAGGAATCCCGCTTTTTATAGAAGTGTTACTCCTAGTCCTGTAACGAGCAGTCCCAAAGTGAACCATCGGAGAAGCGGTTCGCTTGGTGAACTAACTGACGGCAACTATGACTGTTACGAAGATTTAGAAAGAAGGAAATATGATGCAGAGATTAAAAGAAATCAGGTAAAATTAAGTTATATAATATTTTTATTATTTAGTTAAGACACAATTAATGGTTATTTAACGAACAAGTGTATTAATAAGGGCAAATAACAATCGAGATAATTTAATGTTAATGGTTAATCGCCATTTTAATTTACGAGTTCGTTACATAACTTTTCCATCGACTGTACCGTAAAAATATGCCAACAGCACAGATTCTGAATATCGTACCATGCAATAAATTCGGCGTGTTTTCTCGTATAACAGTTGCTTTTATCAGGCAATAAACTTAACGATATTGCATTCGCAGTTTCTGCCACTTCTGGTGGAGTTAAATTAAACTCTTCGTCAATATCCACCTTTTAATTTTAAACTATACATAGTTTTTGAATATTAAGAAATTAAATAATGACATACAATGGCAGATAGTATTAACACACCTTTTTGATATCAAATGTATATGTATGTTTGGTTGCCTATACCATAGGTAACTATCAATATAAATGTATAATAAGAGCAATGTACGTTGGGTTGCATATAATAAAATCGTTGATTATTATATATTATAGAAAATAATTCATTAATAGGGATCATTAATTAACGATTTTGAGTGCGTTAAAATACATCATAAATGGTCGGTTGACGAAAATGATAATAAATAATATCCCAATTCCATATAAATAAAAACAACCAAAGTCAGGTAAAAAAGGAGAAACGTTTAGTAAAAAGTTGGCGCATACCCAAAAGTTGTCCAACTAACTTTACAGGTGATTCCTTTTTGTCTTTCAATCAATCGCAACCAGATAATTGGACTAAAATACAACTAATTCATTAAAGGGTACGTGGATTATAACTCTGTACTAGAACCTAGAACCCAATCTAGTTATACTGTAAGTTTATTTTTCTAATTTTGACATATAAAGTGATATTTTTTGTAATCGCAGTAAGTGTCAAAATGATCTACTTTACGCAACTAGTTGCATAATATTGAACATTATGAAACTGGTCTCAAAAAATTATTCTATCACCAGTTGGGAAAAGAAACAAATAAAACTTAACCTTTTTTTGCTTTTAAAATCAATAATATACATTTTTATTGAAAGTTTATATCAGCAACCTGTATTTTCTGTTTATATATATTTTCTTTACTACACAATTTTCTTGATATCTCCACTTTACTGCATCTTTTTGTAAAGAGGGGTTTAAACTATCTGAACCTGCCTTTAATTGTTACTGTCAAATTCACCTTCATCTGCGTAAATAAGTACCTCTTTTTATCTGAAACTTGCAAAATATTGTTCATAAAAGAAACTCTGAATATCTACAATTGGAATAGAGAGCCCACACGTACAGCAAGTAAGCGGTAAGCCAGAGGACCAGTTATTTCAAGATTGTACGAGGGTTGCCTTTTATAATTCGGGATTAGAAAATAAAAACAGATATTAATCATCGAAAATCGCTTTATTGTTTTTCAAAATATTCTCCATGAAGATCTATACACTTCTGCATGCGTTTGAACCAATTGTCGAAGCACGTTTGCCACTCTGAGGTATCTCCAAAACAATTCGATGATCTAATTCTAACACCCCGTATCTGCAAATATATAAAATTTCACTTTTTTGTGCCATTCGGTTGTACATTTACTCTGTCATTAGTTAAAATACACCGTATTGGCTTCTGACAATATTTACATGAGAAATTTGACTACTCTTATATATAACCCGTATGGCAATCACATATAGCACTATCAAATTGAAAAAAGCTTCTCCTGTAAAATGTTAATTTATGCAGTTACGGTGTATTAGAATTAGACCATTCTTCAGGTGTCGAAAAACGTTGACCTCTCAGTTTATCCATTACGTACGAGAATAAAAAGAAGTCATTCGGTGCCAAGTCAGGACTATACGGCTGATGACTCATCACATCGACGTTTTGAGTGCTCAAAAATGCAGTTGTTTGAGCCGATGTTTGAGAGCTCGTATTGTCGTGGTAAAGAGTGATCCGTCTTCTGCGGTTGGATTTCCTCATTTTTTGGAAGACAACTGGCAAACAAATGGTTGTGTACCACTCAGAAATGGACTGTTCTGCGTTGTTCTAGTGGTACGGTTGCGACATGTCCACTTTTTCCGAAAAAACAGGCGACCATTTGCTTGAAAGTGCTTCGTGCGCAAACAACTTTTGTTAGATTTGGCTCACCTTGAAACACCCATACAGTCGACTGCTGTTTACTTTCGGGCTCATACGCGTAAATCCACGATTCGTCACCTGTCGCTATGTCATAGACGTGTTTCGAAGCACCGCGATCGTATTTTTTGAGCATTTCTTTCGACCAATCGACACAAGCCTTTTTTTTGAACGATTGACAAATTGTGTGAGATTCAACGAGAACAAATTTTTTTGACAGTCAAATGTTCATGCTGGTCCCACTAATGCCTAAGCTTGTCTCAATCTTACGATAGGTCACATGACGATCTTTCAATATCAGTTCACAGCATCAATGGTTTCCAGAACAACAACTGATTTTGGACGACCTTCACGAAATTCGTCTTGGAGCGAACTACGACCTCGATTGAATTCACCATACCATCGATAAACTATGGTCCTTAATGAAGCTTCATCGCTAAAAATTGAATTAAGTTCATCGATGCACTGTTGCTGAGTTAATCCACGTCGAAAGTTGTAAAAAATAATCGCACGAAAATGTTCACGATTTAATTCCATTTTTTGGCCAGATGAATCTTTTAAGTTACTTTAAACAACACAAATAGCGCTCGTATGTCAAAACGTTCTGAGTACGCCTAACCTCCAAAATGTCAAACTTTACGACAGAGCTGTCAGTTGCCAGTTTGCAACACTAGGTTTGTCCAATCCCGAAATATAAAAGGCAACCCTCGTATGCCTATTTATTTTCCTAATGTGTTCGTTGTGTCTGTATCCATACTATATTAAACTTTAACCGCTACCTAGGGGTATCTCGTACCGCCACTGTTGAATTTCCCACTCTAATTTAAAAAATCAAAGCCACTTTACCTGAGGTAAATAAAACTTACATTTTTTTTACCTATGTAAGAATGTTCGTTTACTTTCTTTATGTGAATTGTATTTAGTTTTTTATTATTTTTGAGTTATTTTAATAAAAAAATAAATCAAATAAACTTAATTATTTTTTGCAAGAAAAACAATATTATTATACCATGTTTATATAGCGGTACCTTATACCGATGGTACTGGCTGCATAACAATTTTTCAGGGTAGCGATTAAAGGTTAAAAAAGTAACTTCTAGCGTCACGTAGGATCCAATAGGTAAACTAAATCCGCTTACTTTCTAGTTATCGCCATAAAATCTGGTTTCCACATTTTAAAATTATTATCATGCCACACATATTTTACCTCTTATCTATCACGAAAGTAGATATTCAAAGTAAATATCAGTTTCACGAAAAAGTAAATACTCTGCTTCAGCTGTTTGATAGTACAATTAGTACCTACATTATAAAACAGTGTAAAAATATTCTTTAATTCAAATAGTTAAATAATTTTTTCAAAAATTTAAGGTCTTTTCTTGATATGATGAGGTTAATGTTAATTATTACAATAGATATTTTGAATAATACTCTGAAACCATAAAGTGGTGTTATTTCATGTAAATATACATTATGGGTGTACCAGGTATGTCTATTTATAGCTATATTAGTAAAATATATTTTTCAAATCTTCTCAATTTATTAGTTGTTTCTAACCATATTGTAGATATTTTCCTTGAAATAATATTTGCTTAATATTTATGATCAGATAATTCATTTCCTGTTAGATGGAATCCATGGAAATAGTATCTTGTCCCTTTCTTCTGCCACTAAGATTTCTTTTTTGAGGTTTTTATATTTATATAAATACGTCTTGTACTTGTTACTGAATTTTTTTTATAGATTTAGATCCACATCAATAAAAAATATCACAGGTATTTTTGGGGCGTGAGTGTATATTTTAAGCACTGTTATTATGTTTAATTAATTACTAAGGCTTTCTCCGGAGAGTATTATTATATCAATATGATGTGATTGTCGTAGGCACAACAAGACAGAATAAAGGAACAGGAAATAGAAAAAGCGGAACAACAGAGACTAGAAGAAATTTTGAATATGTGTGCCGAATACGAGAAGCAACAATGCGAGAAAAATAAACCTATAACTCCAAACAGGTAATTATAAATGGTAAATTTATATTTAAAACGTTATTTAATTTTTAATAAAATTATTGAAAGTTTAGAGGAAGTGAGTCATGTCCGAATAATATGAATATAAAAATAGCAAATGCAAACATTGACTACACTATATTTTTGATTAGATTAAATCTATTTTAGATTCAAATGTAATATTTATTTATAATCTTATGTTTATTAATTACCCAGCTAGCACAAAAATATCCCATCTACGTTAATAAGCTGCAATTTTAGGCGCTTTAAGCTCGCAGGCAATGTACTGTAAATGTAACCCTATTATCCCTGCAACTACCGAATGTCCGCAACGGCAAGACTTTTATAGCACATCTCGTAGAAGTTATAAAGTGAAGTTCCGAAAACATCACACTAGCACTTTTACGGTACTTACCCCGAAAGTTGCTCTGAAACTTTCTATAGATGTTATAATGTGAATTCCTTCTACAGCATTATACAGTGTGTCCACGGATGGACTTAACAATACTTGTAAAAATATTTATTTTAAATTTTAAAGAACTTCATAATTTCTTTTGCTAAATACGATTAACGTTGAGAAATTATGAAAAATACCTCTTTTGAAAAATTTAAAATAAATATCTTTACAAGTATAGTTATGTCCATCCTTGGATACACTATATTCAAAATAGTATATTAAGGATATAGTAAAATCTGAAGAAAACAAAATAAAAAAATTGTATAAATTTATTATTAAAAAGCTATTGAAATCAAATACCAATATCATACAAGTAGAGGTAGGTAATAATACAGGTAATGCAATTACACATGTGTGATACCATAAGGTAGCTATAAAACACTGACAAATTGGACAAAAGTAGGTATAGATGGTATATAAGGAATATCTCAAAAGTTCACTAGAATCAAAAACATTGAACGCTTGCACGAAAGAGTATAATAAGGTACCTATATTGCAAAGGTTCACTAGTAGCTAAAATGGTGAACGATTGTACAAAAGTAATAAAAAAAAGTGTATTTATATAAGGTATATTTCAAAGGTCACTAGATTTTTATTAATATGGCAGTTGTATGATGCTAAAAAAATATATTTGCCTACAACTGGTACTAATCATAGTTTTAATACGATATTACTTGATTAAACTGAATATTGATAAATGTAAAGTTATAAGGTTTAATAGAACAGCTAATATCATTATGCATGATTATGTCACTGCAGATTCTGAACTATAAATGATCTTGGTGATATTTTTGACAGGGGCCTATCGTTTATTCCTCATTTTATTAGATTCCTTGTTCCTGCCAGACTTACTAGGCAGATTAAACTATTTTATGTAAATACTCATAGAACTGTGGACAGAATTTATTTGTAGACCGACTGATGTCCAATTACAATAAGTATTTTTCAAATTATGACATTTTAGTAGGTTTTTTTTAAGCGTCGACTTTCATTATACTATATTGACTTCAATTTTATACTATGACAATTTTATTAATTTCTTTTTTATTTTAATTGATATTTTAAATGTACCATTTAGAACTTTATGTATCTGTAGCGTACTGTAAACAGATAGATAAATAAATAATGTGAACTTAATTATATAGTTTCTTCCTAAAAATAACCTTGTAGATAATAAATTTACTTGTTTATTATTAAAGAAAATAATATGTATAAAGAAAATAAAAAATATGCTCGTTTAAATCGTTGCACCTATTTTTAGTTGATTTTTACTTACTTTGTTTTCCTAAATAAATAATAACCTTTATTTTGATTTTTACAAATTTGATACTTAATAATGGATGTTCAACTTATACAGAACAATGTTTTTAGCATGATATTCTGCTATGAAAGAAAAAGAAATAATTTCAGATGTTATATATTCTTCTTCAACCAATTCTGTATTATTAACTTTAACTTCTAAAATTCCTGACATTTTTACTAGAATTATAATCCACCACAAAGAAAACCTACAACACAATATTTTTAAAATTTATTTTTAGTGATTAAAATATTATTACACTAGGGCGACCATACTTACAGCAATTTTGCTGTATTGTAAAGCATTTTTAAAGTTTGTTCAGCAATTGGTATTGTGCAGCAAACGTACAGCAAAATGGCATAGGTATATGTCCAGTGAAATGCTGTATTTATCCACCAAAAACGTCACTACTGTCCAGCAATGGTAATACTTAATTTACTGAAATGTAACAAATTTAAATGTTATTTATCTTTAGTGAACTACATGAGCACTTCTAAATGCCGTCCTAGCAAGAAAGGTTTCATCTGCAAAATTATCAGTTTTTTTATTTATGTGCATTTGTCTACATTTTATCTTTCTTAATACTGAAATGGAATGTCTTATTTGCATCAAAGGTACTAAAATGTTAAAAAGTTACACAAAAAAGGTTTAAAAGATAATAAATATATTTGCTAAAAATAGTTAAAAACTCGATTATTTCAAAACAACAGATTTTCAGATAGGACCTCTCTGTCTAGGATGGCAGTATATGACTTCTTTGTTTTTGTATTTTTATAGTAGTATAGGAGTAGGGCTAAGAGTATCAGTCAAAGGTATTGATACTGGTATCATGTGAAATACTTTGTGGTACAGGCATCGATACTGTTCGATATGATGTTAAAGATATCGATATTTATAAGTATCAAAGTATTGAACAAGTAAAAGATTTTTTTTAAACGGCTGACAACCCCCATTCAACAGGATGGAATGGGGAACTTAACTAAAAACAAGTGTGCATCAGTAAAGTATATTCTGTAGTTGACACCTTTTCTTTCTCTACTGGTACTCTACTTGGTACAAGTTATAGTGTCAATAATTGGCAATTTAACTTATAATTAAATAACAAAAAAAAAACAGTGGTAAGGCTTAATCATATTACCAAGTTTCACCACATGCGAAAACTAAAATATTTGAACAAACCTTATTATTCCTGACCACACACATAGCGATACGATACTTGCTTCTAAGTATGGATATGACGATAGTATTGGTAATTCAGTATCAGTGCCTAAATATGGATACTTTCTTTGTTTAACATCGATACTTCTATAGTATTGAGACATCAATAAGATCCCTATTATCGTGTAAAATATTAGGCAGTCATTTAATATTGCAATCTAAAAGAACAGACAATAAATTAGAAAATATGTTTCTATTTTATTGAAAAGAAGAAAAGAACTTACCAAACTTTTTCAAAGGTATAGTTTACAATTTCTTTAAAATCTCAAATAAATACAAGAAAATGTGACAAGTGACATTTTTTTATGTTTTGTTGGATATAACAAACGAATGGGTACGTTCGAAAACAAAATAATGTATATAGTACATCTCGTGGATACTTTTTTAGCAAGTTACTTTATTACGTTGTGTTATCATAACAGGCAGGTTAAATACGTAAGTAACAAATAGATATTTCGCGAGGTTTTGATTTCTCTCAACAACTTCTCATGTACGTTGCAATTACGTTATATGATAATGTTATTACGTTCCCTTAAAACAACATCGCCGAAAGGCTTGGCAACGTTATGTGCTAGCTGGGTACTGAGTATCAGTATAAACCGAAGTATAAACAAAAGAAAATATATATCATGGAACCTTCAGATTTAATTAAACTGTAACTAAATAAAATAATTATCTTTTTTTTTTACTATCAAGAGTTCATTTTTGAAATAAATTGAATACTCATTCAATTTTGTTTGTAATTTGAAATGGTTATAAAATATAACAGGATGATTAATTATTGTTCAATCCAAATAAAATATTTAAAACTTTTAAAATACTTAATAATTTGTATTTAATCATTCACATGGTATTGTAGACATATTTATTAATATATTGATAGCATTTTTATTTTATCTTTAAAAATAGTTTGCAATAGTAATAATAAAATAATATTTTCAACACTTTACTTATTTTTAAATAATGAATTTTTCACGTTCCATGATTGTTTTCTTAAAGCTGTAACCTCCCACCCCCTGGTCTTGTAGATAATTATTAAAAGCCCGTATTTTAATTTAACTACCTCTCTCCCCTGGTGAAATTCAAAGAAATTCATACTTACTGTAATTGGCCTTTTTTCCTCTAGTAGTAAAAGTGATCGTCTAGTTAATTAATTGATAATTTTTTTATACCCACGTTGTGATAATGTTAATTAAGGTAAACCAGGATTCGATGCAAAGTTTGGTGCAAATTGATAAATAAAACATACAAATTATATTTAAACTCTTTTTATTTTTCATACTTTAAATGTGATGCAATAATTAGCAAAGTATATTACAATTGTTACTATTTACTGAGATCTCACTTGAGTCCCGTTCAAACGCAGACCATATTCATTTGCTATCAATATATATATTTTACTTAGATTGATGACCAACAAAGTTAACGAACAGCGTCAATTCGCCAGTTGATTAACTATAGTTTTGTTGTTGCTGGTTCTGATTAAGGTACAAATTTGTGAATGAAATAATGCTCAAAGTATATTTAACTTAATTCATTTTTCTTTTGATCTCCAATAAATAAATATGTACAGATTATTTATTATAAGGTAGACCTCGCATGTGTCTCGCCCAAACAACAGGCCACTTACCATCAAATATTTGTAATTAAACAATTCTTGAGAATAGACAGCAGACGTCCTCAGAATTGCACTATCTTTAATAATTCTTTGTTTTGTTGTTTTCTTTTCTTTTTTATATAGGTGCGCTTACTGAGATACCGTCGTTGCAATAACAGGCGGATATCCCTTATATTTCAGCCTCACCTAAGGGGTTTTTTTGTAGATGTAGTCTTACTAGAATAGAGCCAGATCAATACTAGCGAACTACCCCTTATGTTCAGATCTACCTACGGTGCGAAGATTAAGAGATAATTATCTAAGATAGTCCAACCCTGTAGTAACATCAAGCATATTCGGATAAATGTGAGTCTAGTGGTCCGATGTGTCATTTACCCCAATCAGCTGAGCTGTTATTTGCGAGGGTTCATTGACAGTTCGGTAACCAGACTCTTATTATCTTTTACGGTGATATATTAATTTGAAGGCAATATGGCCCATAGCATACACATCTGGACGAGCTAAATGCGATGTCGGCTAGCAATAAATTCCTTAAAGGCAAAGATTCACCATTATTTAATAATAATGAGTTACAGAACCCTGTATATTTCCAAAATATTGATTTTTTATAATTTCTATTGAAAAGACTCAATACAACCCTGTTTATGTTTTAATATTGACTATTATAATTTCTATTGAAATAACTTAATACAATCCTGTATATTTCTTTATATTGACTTTATAGTTTCTATTAAAATAACTTAATTCAAACCCTGTTTATTTCTTTATATTGCCTTTTGTAATTTCTATTAAAATACTCAAATTTCACCCATCCAAAACAGATGTTATTCCAAGCGCCTTTTGGGGTGCATGAACTGAAAGCATGTGGTTTATTGGTCAAATCGATAATATTTTGCAGCAAAATGTTAAGCTCTACATTTAAACGAAACCCGGGTGGTACCTCAAAGAAAGTTAAATAAATCTTTGACTCACCACTGAAAATACAGACATTAGATTATGTACTAATTTCTTCTAGCGTCGCAGGTTAAGTGCCGAGGCACGTGGCGTCGATATGCGTGGCGCCGAGGCGTGTGGCGTCATAGTTGAAAGGCAGATATTTAATACGGTACTTCATTGGGACAGATATACGGTAGAATTATGCAGGTGGTACGGGACGTGATATTATGAAGGAAATATTTAGTGACGGCAAGCGTCGGAATTAAGGGGTGTGAAGCTGAGCGTCGAAATGAGGTTACGGAAGGAAATACTTAGATGATGAAGAATGTTACAGCGTTCGAAACGTCGGGGGTAGGATGGCAGGACATTGATACGTTGACACCTTTTGGAAATAGGAGGTATTGTGGGATAGACGTCGTTTAGGAAGAGCGTTTTAGGAAAGGTACAGACTGTATAACTGGGTACTGACAATAAGGTGATTGCTTTGAATGTGAACTAACAAATGTATGCTTGCACATCAAATGACAAAAATTGAAATGCCTTCGAGCTCATTTTTGTCTCGCTTTTTATAGTAAAGTTTTAATGGGTTTGTGACGTGTCTATGCCCGTATTTCTCACAGAAATACGTTGGGTGTTGGGGGTGGGTTATTTATTATGTGCCTTGACAGTTTTGTGTATCGAGATATTGTCGAATTGATCTAGAACATCGAAACTAATAAAATAAGCACGTTAAGTGTTTTAACGATAATTACTTCGTAAACAGAAATGTTATCTTTTTAGACTGGTTCTCAGATACCCGTAGATATTTTAGGGACGTGGTTATGGCTATTATTTATTAGGTGTCGTAAATAAGATTTAATTATCTGGGAGATTTTTCGTTAAATGATGCATTTTGAATTTAAAAGAATGGAATATTGTATTTAATAAATGAAATTAATAAATTATTAAGGTACCCGGGTGCGGTAGGTTACACAGCTAATCTTATTTTTTCGTTGTTTAAAATTTCAATAATCTTTCCAACATATTTGTGTTAAATAATATCAAATATAAAAAATATATGTACAAATTAAATAATCTTTTAATTCCGGTGTCAGACAAACAGAAACATTCAAGAAATTAAATCAAATACCAAATTAAGTATCACACAAATTAAATTATAAAAAGTAATGTAACTAGTTTCGATCTTTCAGGTCATCATCAGGCCTAAAATATAGAAACTAAAACAGAAAATGTTAGAAGATATTATACTTACAAAAACTTAGATTAAATGTATATCTTTTCCGGCTGGTTTTTGGTTATGGACTTTTGCAACTTCAAACATGGATTTAATCGTGTATTTTTATGTTTTTCTTTACACAACTTTTCCATTATGGAGGTGGTCCTTAGTGTTACAATAAAAATCACCATCGCTTATAATTCAATTGCCGAAGTTACACCAGGTTCTACTTTTGAAAGACTGGCTAGTGGACCTGTTATTTCTTTTTCTTTTCTCACTGCTGTTGTCTACTCAATATTTCTCAAAATTTACCATTCCACAAATACCTTGAAGGTTGTTCCTTCAAAATACATGTAACCGACTTCAAAAAAGGAGGAGGTGCTCAATTCATCGTAATATTTTTTTTATGTATGTTCAGCGATCATTCTTTCAATGATTCTTTTTTCTATTAGAAAGGGGATACTTCAAGTGTGGTCTTATATAAATTTGGTCAAAATATAATAATTGAGTCCATGAGTCCATTTTTTATGTATTCTTTACTACCTTGTCAGATTTCTATGATTTTTTTTTATTTAAGGGTTACCTCAAGGGTGGTCTCATATAAATTTGGTTAATATGTGGTTATGGTATCTGCACGATTTTGAAGTCGGTTTTTTAAAATTACTTTTAATACTTGTTGTAAACCTACATTCTTTATTTCTACTCACCTACAGTTTTTTTTTGTAGGTTTTATATCTGTAACATTTTTTTTTTTAATTTTTGGACTGATGACCTGTAAATTCGAAACTTGTTTTAGCGCTACTAGTTTTATTAAATTTATGTGGTACCGATTTGTGTCTGATTTTATTTTTTAAATATATTGATCACATTTGAGAAATTAATAATCTATTTTTAATAATTTTAGAATTAAAACTAATGGTTCTCTACCCAGAGACAAACGTGGCCAATTCAGCCCTCCATCTCCGAGCTACAGCTCCACCCCGCCACCGTCCCCTTTAGACATCCTTCACAATGAACTACTTAAACAATCCAACCAACATAACTACGAAAACGTCAACATAACCTCTTCTCCACCAAACGGCGTACTTTACGAACAACACATTGATCTGAAATCGCAGGAACCAGAATTTCGAAACGTCGAAAGAAAGAGTCCCTACGAGAATGTATATATTCAACATAACCCGCCAGGGCCGTATCCTCCATCGCCTAGGACGAGAATCAAGACGTTTGTTACATCAAATAAAGATAAGTAAGTACATATTAGATGTTGCTATATTAGTATGACGTAATTTGTATTCCAATGATAGTTTACTTTTAACGAAAACAAACTGTCATTGAAATTGACATACTTTTTTTGTTATTGTCGTAAAAAGCAGTTGTTGGTCATTCATTATTCATTAAAAAGTCTTTATTTCTATTTTAAATTATATACATTGCAATTTACAATCATTTCTTCTGGTAGGTTCCTGGGGGGTACCTGGGTACCAGGCAGATGCAGATGGTCGCCTGTAAACGATTTGGATTACTTAACTCATTTTTTGGTGTTTTAAAAACTCCTTGTCAAATGACATTATTAGCATGTTTTGATTTTTACGCTGTACGCAGTAAGTCGCCTGTATTTGTGTTTGTGGCGTATTCTAGTTTTGTCTGGTTCCCTCTGGAAAAGCATTTGAAAAACCAAGAGTTGTCACTGTCTGAGCGTGGGCGAAAAGTGTCGTCTTTTTGGATTTTCGATGTTCAATCTCTGACGCTACGGATAAGTCTTTCGCCCGACTTGAATATGCTCGGAAGGCCGGCTTCTCCATTTCGCCAAATTTATTAAGCTAGTGAGAATGTTTTAAATAAAAAATGAGATACAAATGTCGTAAGAAATTAGCTTATTAATTTGCCGATTTTGTGTCTGTAATTAGAGTAGATTAGATTTAATTAGGAATGTGGGCCATGTGCCTTCCCCCACCTCGACCTTTTCAGATCTCTTATGGATATCCTTTAATTGTTGTTTATAATACCTTGTCTAATTCGGTCTTTTGTAGTAGACTCCATATACTGCGAAGTAGTTCGTCGGTATAGCCCTTGGTTTTTCTTCTCAAAATGTAAGGAATCTCACTCTTGCTAGACCTTCACAATAGCACAATACGTGTTCTGCCGTTTCCTCCTCTTCCTGACAGAATTGGCACAAGGTCTCTTCTGTCAGAAGAAGGGTTCTGTGATGTAACAGCATTGAGGCTCTTTCTCGGGCTAGTAAATCAGCCTCTTCATTGCCCTTATGTCCTCTGTGGCCTGGTACCCAGGCTAAGGTTAGTCTGTTTTGACTACCCAGCTCTGTTAGGGTTTCCAAACAGTCCCACACAAGCTTTGAGTGTACCTGCTTGGAACTGAGTGCTTTTAACGTCGCTGGACTGTCCTGAGTATATGACAATGATTTTTCCATTTACCTTCTGTCTTAATACCTCTTTTGCGCAGTGATTGCTGCTATTTCTGCCTGGAATACTGTCGCATGTTTACCTAAGCTCAGTGAGATTCCTGTCTTTGGCTTGGTACTATATATATATCTACTCCTGAACCTTCATCGGTTTTGGCACCGTCTGAATACCAGGTAAATTCTGCATGAATAGGAGGTCCTCCCGTCCACGCTTCCATGTCTAGTATACTTTCTTTATATTGCTTTTGAAAGCTATACTTTGGGAGCATTTCGTCTGAAGGCATTCACATTATTTGGTCGTTCTCCAACTCTTTATATAGCTCGCTGCAGTCGCGTATATGCAAACTGCTTATGGGCGATGAACCTTTGTGCAGTGTATGTGACAGACTTGGCTTCGCCTTGAATTAATGTATGTGGTGGTGTTAGATTTAGCATGACTTCTATAGCTGCTGTTGGAGTCGTTCTCATAGCTCCTGTGGTACTCTGGCATGCTTGCCTTTGAATACCATTAAGCTATCGAATGGCTCCAGCTTGCCGAGTCGCCGAGTCTTTGGCCACCATACCACCGACCCGTAGGTTATTATAGGCCTGACTCTGGTATATAACCACAGGGACATTTTCGGTTGTAGTCCCCAATTTTTTCCACACAACCTTCAACATAAATTGAAGGATGTTATGTTCTTTTGGGTGACTTTTTGCAAGTGTTGATTCCATGTTAACCTGTGGTCAAAGATGACTCCCAAGTATTTGGCCTCTTGAGCAAATGGAATCTACACTCCTTTCAGTACTGGTGACTTTAGTCCTATTGGTACTTTTCGTTTTGTAAAGTTGACTATTGTGGTTTTGTGAGGATTTACTGTTAGTTCCTCCTCTTTGCACCACTTGTCAACAATGTTTAGAGCGGTTTGTGTGCGCTCCTAATGTCTGTAATACTATTTAATATGTTTTTAGGAAGTCTATCTTTCTAAAAATTACAAATACTTCCCTAAAATTTCATTATTTTTTCCAATTGAGTATTAAAATTAAATTATAAAATTTGGGTAAAAAAATAGTAGTAATCATAAAAATAATAATCAAAACTTGGAATTATAAATGTTTTCATTATATTTTGGAATAATAATATTAATCATCTTAAGCGAGTCGTCTTTTTTCTTACAGAAATAACGATTTTTGAATTACAGACCAGCTTCACTGTTGGATTTTTTTTATTATTGATTTTTTTTTTTTTTTTCATTGTATTATTATTATTTTGTCTTCAATAAAATAGAGTTGAATATGCTGTTAATAACTTTTTTTAGCAAAGTAGAATTGGTACTCTGGATTGGGTAAAATGAGCGGAACATAGGCGCAAGAGGAAGCAAAAAAAAGGCGAAAAACAAAGTCACCGCTATTCCAGATATGACGTCACCACCAGTTTTTGATAAAGGCAATATCATATTTATTTGATAGTACCAATTAGAAGAGCTAATTTTTTGTATAGGGATGACAAATTTCGTATTACATTACCTACATAACAATATTTTCCAGATAAGAAATTGTTTAGTATTCATAAAAATGTGTTCTCAAAAAATGGTGTGTGGACACTCAAAAAACTCGTGATTACGGCATATCTCGAATATTGACGTCATAAAAAATATAAGTACATCACAATTATATGCTTCTAAAAAAATCAACAGGTTTTGGTACTTGTCCAATGTCCAATATTGAAAGCTAGAAATCTGGTGTTCTGCCCCTTTTACTCAACCCTGTATATGTTTAGATGACAGGAAAACGTATTTTGATCTTGTTCGCAATATCTATTATTTTAAAATCCTTGTCCTTATTGCGTTTGTTTTATGGTGTGTTCTTCCAAGTACTTCATTTTCTAATGTTTGTATTACTCATACAGTGCAAGATCAAACATTCCGTATAGTAAATGATATCCGCACATGTGAAAAAGAAACAACACAGAATTGTATGCTACTTTTGAATATCCACATCAGATGCATTTTGTACCTCTCGAACGTTTGTTTATTCACATCCAACACATCTGCTCTCAATACAATTGCCTTTGTTTATTCGACATATAGCTGTCCAGATTACATTTTTTCATCTCGATTTTATATGATATGTTGTAGTGGGGATTGTCAAACTTATCATTGTTATTTTTGTTGAAACATCTATCGAATTATGTTCTAATTACTCGGCACGGTTTACACATGTGGCCCATACAACGGAGATTGCTTTTCGTGATGAATGAGCTTTGCACAGACCTCTGTCCTCCTTTAGTTTTTGTGTTATTTTTGCCTTTTTCGACATCAGCAAAGATTATTTGAATTCTCAGAATAATGTATTATTTATTATATTCTTAAACGTGTCATTCTCATTTTTACCAATATGCCTAAAGTATTTGTTTATTATGTCTACATTTGATCTAATTCTGAATCACGTGGTCAAAAATTCACAATATCTCGGATTCTTCCGGTAAAAGACACCGTCGATGCTACATTTTTGTCATTTTCTGTATATGCGAACGCCAACTCCAACAAAAGCAAACTGGGACTGAAAGTTTAACCTTTTCCAGCAGTGTATATGGAAGAGCTTAAAAGTTTTCAGTCACCACTGTCCTAAACAATTTTTAAACTTGTACTACATTAATGCCTTTTTAGTTTCCCATTTTCCTCATTCCATTTTTTTCACATGTTCTAAACATTTCCATTAGAATTAAGAACATTTGACAGTAAACAGGTACCTAGAGGATGTGTATTTTATTCTCCCTGTTGGGCCGGTATTTACTATAGGATCAGGGATCTGTGGTCTGAACGGATGGGTGGAAGGAATAGTAGCGTTTATTTGAGAGGATATTACTGATCCAGCATTTGCCTACTGTTATGAGAAACCCTTTGAAAAACTCATAATACGTCAGACGGCAAGGTAGATGCATTGCCCCAGAACCAACTCGCTCAGTACTTTTTACAGTTAGTAAATTAACATTTTTGGGTAAAATAAGAATTCTTTTATCAATTAACCCTAAACTACTACTTTTTCATAAATTTTATGAAGCTCCTAAAACTTCGTCGAAGTTCAAGTACTTCCGGACCATGAATCGTCATGGCCCTCTTTGTTTAATTCTAAAACTAGCCAATGGTGTATGCGATTATTGCATTTTTATTGGTACATATTCCAATATTTACGTTTTACTGTCACTAATATGAAAAGGCATATGGCCACGGCGTATTGGGCAAGCACACTATATGTGGAGAATACCGATATAATTATAGCTTATTATATGCATTATGTGTACAGCAGGCTGAAATATATAATTTTTTATACAGTTAAAGGTATACATTTAGCATTGTTTTTCATTTGTTTTGGTCAAAATTAGGGTTTTAACAAAAGTCATAAAAATTACGATAGTCCAGTATTCAGTATTAATGTTTATCTAAAACACTTCAGTATTTTAGAATTGTGGTATCCTATACACTGAAATTTTTGTTTTTGTACTTATTTCTCTGTATATTAGAAATTTTCTTTCTGCCTAAAATTCTGTTTGCTACTTGTATTTTTGAATTTATATTTAGACATATATATTTGACATTGGTACTTTACAAAAGGAAGTCTTCTTTTCTCTAAAGTTTTTTTTCTTACACCTTAATTTATATTTTTTTTTGTAGTTCTTGGGTTTTTAGGTGCTAGTGAGAAATGAAACTCGTGTATGTGTGCCTTCTTTAGTAGTTTTTTATTATTTGTAAATTATTATTTTTTTTATTAAAACATTAAAAACCGTTCTTTAGTACAAAGTTGGAGTGTGTCGTTATACACTTGAAAGGATATTAAAACACCATATCAACGGACATGACAAGAATAATGGAAATAAATATATAATAATAAAAAAAAGGATTTTAAACATTTTACTAATTATAACCACACCCCAACTTTGTACTAAAGAACGGTTTTTGATGTTTCAATAAAAAAAATAATTTACAAATAAAAAAAAAACTATTGAAGAAGGCACTGATCAGTGCCGAAAGCTTTACCCACACATACACGAGTTTCATTTCTCACTAGCACCTAAAAACCCAAGAACTACAAAGAAAAGAATATATATATTTGACTGTTATATATGTTTTTTAATAAAGACATATATTTAATTTCTACATGTGATAATGTTTTTTATATCTGTACAAATGAGTTTTATCAAGAAGTGAATAATAGTATTAAATCTTTGCAAACAAATAAATATCATGTATTAATAATATTTTCTAGCGTGTTGTCTCAAGAACAAAATATTTCTTATAAAATGCCTTATAAATAAATAAATACATTTTAACCCATTTTTTTACATCTAATGTGATTTCTAAAAATCATAAAAAAATGATAAAATAGAGTTTGTGTACACAGTTGAAAAAATATCTATCTATTGTTTGTTTTATCTGGTTTTCCTATCTAATCGTCATATAAACAGCTTTATATTTCAATTTCTATAAAATCTCTTATTTTAGTTTCTTTTTATAGTTCTACATCTTTCTACGTACTATTAAAAAAAAATTAAACGTATATTTTATGTTATATTTGTTGCAGTACCACAAAAGAAACTACAGAACTGATAGAAAACAAATTCGCCATACTAGAAGCTGAACAAATACTCTTGAGAGAAGCCGAACAAATCCTAAAACAAAACTTACACAATTCTATGGAGTTTCCTCCTGACCACGACATTTTCGACGTTACAGGGACCAAAGCAACACCTACGAAGTTCGTATTTCCTGATGAGAATAACGTAGAAATTGTAAAAATACCATCTCCTGAGCAAAATTCGAAAATCCATAATGAATTTAATTATACAAATAATACAACCGTGAATAATGTGAGTTGTAACGGAACGGATAGGAGCTACGATGAACAGCACGAAGAAGAAAAAATCGATAAAAGTCGATTGGAACAATTGAAAAAAGAGAAAAAAGAAATTTTGGCTGTTATTTCGAGGATTAAAAGGCAAATGGCTGAGATCGAGATCCAGGAAGAAGAATTGCAAAGAGAGGTGGGTTCATTTTATTCAGCAGTGGGATTCCCATCTTTTGATACGTATCGAATTCCGTCGCCTGTTTTTTTTTGCTTGCAGTAACCGTCGATCCATTTTGCCAACTTTTTCTGCACTTCCCTTGCTCTATACCAACGTTTCATTTATAAATACAGGCTTAAAGTTACCCAGCTCTATCTCCTTGTTAAAATTGTTTAAAAACGTCAATTTTTTTAACTAAATCGATGATCGTTCCAATAAAAACTGTCTGTTGTTACTTCTTTTAAAGCGAAAGCCAATTTTTTTCGAATCCATGTATAAATTGACCATGCAGAACACTTCACATCAGGCATTTATTCCGAAATTAGTTCATTAAAGAATCGACTTTTGTTTTACTTTGGCTTACTTTTTATTATTTTCACAAACTCTGTATCAGAATGTGTTAATTTACCAAGCCTATAGATACTTTTCTGCGAAGTATTTAATGCCTTTGCAGCCATTTGATTGTACCTATTTCCAAGAGCCTTGCAAATCTAGACCTCGGAGCCATTTTCAAGTTTTTGGTTACTCCTGCATATTTCCTGCTCCATTAAGTCCTATTATTTTTAGTTTTCCAGATATATTTTTAAAACCAATATTAAGTTCAGTTAAACATACAGGTAGTCAAAAGTGTCAACAAGCTCTCCTACAAAATTTTGTAAAATAGACTTAATAACTCTTTGGCCCTAAGGTCCAGAAATAGAAAACTTTTGAAATAAATATCAAAATATACAAATTTTGATAACTGACATAATAACAATCTACAACGTGCCAAAATCTGTTAACTTTTTGTTTCATCCGTTTTACATTTAAACAATAAACAAATCGAATGGGTATTTCCGAGACATTATCTATCGTTCAGTAGACTATTCAATATAGAGTTAAAAGTTATAGTTGACCAGTCAAATAAGTTTAATTTGAACGTAGTAATCTTGATTTTTTCAAGCCAGAAACTGACATTTTCTTTCCAGTGACGGCCTTTACCAAATTTACTTTTGGGTATTTACTGTAGTGATGGGACTTTTCATGAAAAGTAATTTATATAATACTTAGGCACTAACTCACAATTCTAATTTATTTATTAAAATTTGTGTTTACTGTCCAACATTTAAATTGAAACTTAACTTCTTTCGACAAACTCGCGTTATTTATATAACTGCACAAAAATATTCTCAACCGTCTAGAAATTCTGGAATTTCGTCATCTATGACTCGACGGCCGCATAACGCTTTTTCTGGTCGCTTCTCGAAGCAGTGCGTTTGTCTCTGTCCTGCAGATCGAAACATAGGCGTAGCAGCTTGCAACGGTGAGCGGAACAGGGTTGGTTTAGGCGTTCTTACAACATTATTTGCATTTTATTTTCGTTTTTTTAGGCAAATCATTTGTAAAATACTTCCAACGTTCCGATATTTTGGTTATTTTTTCACGAGTTTATTTTAATAAGATAAGAAACGAAAATTTGAAAACATCGTTAAAACATATAGAAATCAGTAATCATTTGTCGTTTCTTCTTTTTTAAACTATATTTTGCCTTTGTTAGTAAGAAATTCAGACAAATTAGGTAATTTAATTTTGCGCATGCGCAATGCACTTTTCTACTTTTGAACAGTGGTTTGGACTAGTCAACCTTTCGGACTATTCCGTCGGACTTGTCCGTGGATTTTTCAAGGCGACCCATCACTAATTTACCGAGAATCGAAAATTAATATTTTAAAGTTATCTGTTGTAATTTAATGATAAAAATTTGATAGTTTATAAACCTTAATTCCTTAAAATTATTGATATCGTTGGATAGATAATTAAAAGACCTTTCAAATGATATATTGCATGAACCACATTTATATTTAAAACCATCATCGATGACGTCATTACACTCACACAGATGAAGTCACAAATAAAAGAAATATCCGATAGAACACGCTTTTGAAAATAAAAATCGTGAGGTTTTAGGATTTTTTCAGAAGTCGACGAGTTGCGAAATAATGAATGTATTCCTTTAGTTTGTACCATACTGTATATACATATAACAAATGTTTATTCAGAAAGAATTATCTTCTACAAATGTCTGACTTTATTTTATATAATGCGCGATTTCTAATTACTATTTATTTTTTTAGACTGAATTAGAAAGAGCCCTCATCTCAGGCGAATACAAATCCAAACTTTTAGATTTGGAGAAAATTGAGACGCGTAAGCAAAAGCTCCAAAGGCGTTCCCAAAAAATCGAAGACAATATGAGAGATTGCCAAGCGAAACAGGAAGAAGACCAAAAGAAGTGCAAAGAAAAACTCAAAATGGCTCAAGAACATATGTCCGAGGTGGACGCGAAATTGTGTTCGACCACAAAACCTAGTCCAGAATACGAAGATGTATTCGAGGAGTACCTCCAAGCACAAGAACAATTGGACAACGAGAGGAAAGCTTTCGAGGATCTGGAATTTCATCATTTAGAAGAGGAAGCTGATTGGTTGGCCAGCAGGGAGGAACTTCAGAGAGAAATTTTAGACCTTTCCAAAAGAATTGAACATTTAACATCCCAAGTACAGGATTTAGAACAACAAAAGGTAAGTTATTATAATAATAACAATATATCAAAAGTAATAATAATAATTCCCCGAACTTTCTTCTAGATGGACACGTCAAAAACAAACTCACAAGAATTCAAAACGATAGAACGCCAAAAGATGGAGTGCCTAATGAGATTAGAAGAAATTCGAAACAGACTGAAAAGCATAGACAATGAACTATTGATATATTCAAACGAAGAATCTGAACAAGAAGTCTCGAGCGATACAGATAGCGATAAATCGAAAGAACTGGAGAAACGACTGTCAAGCTTGTCGTTCGGCAAAGTGACAGACATGAGTTGCTCAATTATTGTTAGTAATACCAAAATTCCCGATAATGAGAGTATGTATAATATGTCTCAATCATTTAATGAGAAGATGTTCCAAGAAAAATCGATTTTGGAAGTTGGAATTGGTGAGTAAATGGTATTTTTTACCTAAATGATTGAATATTGAAAGTATTTTTCTCCCAAAATTAACTGAAATATATTGAAATACTTGATCATCTTAAAAAATTGCTATTCAAAAATAAAAAACAGAAATGTTTTCTGGAGAACTGACCAAAGATTGGCTACCCAAAAAGCAAATCTCTGTGAGTTTTCATGTGTACCAAAATTTTAGCAACGTTCATCTTACTACCCACGTACTGGTATAGTGTCAGTGATGCCACCTTTAATTCATTTTTCTGACAAGAATAACAGATAAGCTTAAAACGGTACTTTTTCAAATGGTGTTTTTATATAAATGTAATCTTCTAATCTCCAAAAATATGTTTCATGCCAAATCCGAAAAATAAATTTGTTCTTATTTTTGGTTATAGTAGGTTTGGTGCGGCATTCCATTCCATTGATTGGTTGAATATTCAAAATGTCAAACAATTACTTCATAGTTTCAGTGATGCCAACTTAACATGTTTTTTTGACAAGAATAGCAGATAAGATCCATAATTTAAAACGGTGTTTTATAGAAATCGTCATTGATTCTGCAATATCTGCTATGTGAAAAATATTATTATGTGAATCCTGATACACATATCAGCTGTCACTGTCTATAGTTTGAATGTTGGCACATAACAGTGTTTTGTTATTTGATTTATAAAATCAACTGATTTTTTAGCACATATCAGATATTACCAACCGATGCAAGAACGTTAATATAGCTGGAATACAACCAAACCTAAAATTCGCCATAAAGTGCACATAACAGGTATTGCACAATCAACGACGAAATATTGTACTTGTATTTAAAAATAAATTGTAGCTTCACTCTTTACATTTTAATAGTTGGGTTATTCTCTTATATTTAACAAAAACAGGTATACAGTGTCAGCCACTGAACATTTTCCAATTCATTTTGCACAAGTGCATGTAAAAACTACAGAGCATTGCGTTAACATTAGCGCGAGTTGGAAACGAATAATAACAGTGTTGCCAGTTTATACGGCCCGACCTTGTTGTAACGTTGCATGGGCCGTATAAACTGGCATCGCCAATATTATTTATTTCCTGCTCGTGCTAATGCTAACTCTCTGTAGTTTTCACACGCACTTGTCCAAGGGCGTATTGGAGAGTGTTTGATAGTAGATACTGTATACACATCAGAAAGAAAGAAATCTTTATTGGTATCAAGAACAATGGTTTTTGATATGAAATTTTTAAAAAAATTCAGTTTTCAATTTATTCTCGAAAGTACGCATCCGTTAAATTTTTAGTGAACGAAATTCAGCCATAATTTTCAAAAAAAGTTCGTCAAAATTTTTTTTGAAAGTTGTCATCCGTCAAATTTTTTATGGACGAATTTCTGCAAATTTAAAAAAAGTTTGTCAAATTTTTTTCTCGAAAGTACCCATGTCAATTTTTTATGGACGAAATTAAAAAATATATATAGTTGTATAGTACTAATAGAGCTATAGAATATTACAAAAAGGTATATATAATTATGGCGTTTTTCAGTGGAATATTCAGTGCGTACTGAGTATATTCTCACTTTCTTCTTTTTCATATCTATAAACAAGGACACAAATATACTCAGTGCGTACTGCCAGTGCCAGTGAAAAACACTATTATATTGTTTTAAAATGGGGATAATCTACAATTTAAAAAAGTTTTAGTAGTTATGTCACTAACAGTATACTGCTCTGCAACTATAAGGCACTTTTTATCATTCTTTTAAATAGTGTGATAGAAGTAATTTTTGGCCCGGCCCGGCCCGGCCAACGTTACAACTCTGTCGGGTCGTATAAACTGGCAACGCTGATATTATTCGTTTCCTGCTCGCCATAATGCTAACTCAATAGTTTTCACATAGACTTGTACGAGTATTGAAAAAAGTTCAGTGGCCGAACTGTATATTTTCTGTTATAAAACGTTTAAAAATTTTTCTTGAATCTTTTCTTTATTAAACTAAATTGAAAACAAATGCGTTATGGTGATTACTTGATTACAGAAAGAAAATTTCCTAGTCAAGACGATATAGACCGAATAAGTCGAGTGACATCAGATGCCCCTATCATCAATGAAGGACAAGATTCGTTAGGAAGGAAAACCATTGAATCTCTGAAAGAAATTGAACGGAATAGACACATACATCTTTGTCAACAGGGTAATTCTTATATTAAAAAATAACTCTTTCAACGGGTTGCAAGGACGTAAACTTTAAGAGCCTGATAAACTTTAACAAAACTCGAGAATGAAATCTGTCTGAATGACATAGCTTTCATATTACTCACATCTTATCAACGTTTATCGGGCTCATACATTTTAATAGGCTTTCTTGTAACCGACTGTACATTTTTTTTAAAATCGCTATTCTTAGGTACATGTGAAACGTCATTAAAGCCATGCCATCATCATTTGATGGGAACATGTTAATGGCCGATTGATTATTGCTAGGTAAAGTTCTTGTCTTATTTAAAGCTATAATTATGACAAAACAAATTAAAACCCCAATAGACATTGCTTATACATAAAAATTATTAAAAAAAATTTCTCTCTCTTTGTTTTAGTCTACTAAATGTTTGTTGTCGCCTTTAATTCTTCCTTTTACTTTAATTTTTATTATGAATACTATAATATTTTATTTATGCACATTCAATATTATTTTCATGCCTTAAGGCTGCCGTTCTGCTACCCTTTATGGTAATGTTTTGTCTGTTGAATCTTTCATATTGTTCTGAAGTCCTAAATGTGGTATAAACTGTTCCTTAAGCAACTTTTCATAATTATGTTAATTCATGTCATTATCGTAATCACCAGAGTTGACCTCAGACACAAACATAAAAAAACTGTTAGTCATAAAGCCCGTGTTAATTTTTTTAATATAAACTATCCCTTTTCCCCTACATAATATACTATTCTTTTTCCCCTAATGTTGTGACATTCTATTAGAACCTGCCTGTTGTTTCATGTTTTTCACCATTTGAACTCAATTTTTTTTAACTAGTTAAGGATGTTTAGCTCTCTTTCCACTCAATTTCATTTTGTAATTTTTCACTAAGAGTTTTGACTGTTACACGCGTACTATTCTTATACGAAATCTTTAAACTATGTCTTTAATTATTCCAATTTTGTCGATTGAAATAGCTGTTACACTAGATGATATGTTGTGCTTTTTAAACTTTTAAATAATCCGTTTGTGTGGGGTAAGTATAGATCCTTCACCCCTTGGAGTTTTGGCCACTTTCTACAATTATTCGTTCAATTGTTTTTACTCACTAACCCGTAGCTTCCGCAAATTCTTTCATAAAATTAGTGAGAGTTTTGAGGTAATTATTCACAACACATTAGCTATAAGGTGCACACCCAGACCAGATGGCTATTTTCTTTTTATCTCTTTTACACAATTACGATAGGCATTGCCAATTGAAAATTAATACTACTGCGCATTTCCACTTTAGAAAAATTAGACTACACTGGCTGTACCTAGCTATAGTCTAGAGAAGAATGGAGTGCGTAATTTCATTTGCATGACGTAGTACAGGTTAAAATAAAAATTTTAATACATCTGATCGGCTTAATGAAAGTTTTAGTTTATATTTAATCATGGTTTTTACTGTAATAACACTTTTCTTTTGACAGATAAGTCAGACTTTATTTATTCATAGCCGTATCGTATGTATTTTAATTGATTCGGAATTTTGTATTGGTATATATTATTATTTTTAAGTTTTATAAGAATGGCGAGTGCATTAGAAAAATATTGCAAGCACAATTACACGTAAACGACCTAGTGGACACAAAGAATTATTATCGTACTGAGTGTATGTAAGAATCTTCGAAAAGACTTTGTTTCACTTTCTGTGGATGAAATAGTCACTAAATATGAGACCTATACTGGAGTATCTAAGCGGACAGTGTATAACATTATTAAAGAAGTTATTGGGGAAGTCTCACATCCGAAAAAGCCTCCAGCTAGAAACAAGACTTTTATTGAAACTTGGGTAAAGAATGTACATTCTTTTTTCTTTCGAAATGAAATTCCTACACTCGGAAATAAATTACATGAATTAAATTTTCGTCACAAAAAACGTGACAGAAACAGCTTGTTAACAGAGAAAGACGAAATCATTACAAGGAGACATGATTATTTAAGGAAAATAGCGTACACACTGAATCAGCATAAACAGGTATTTTATTTAGATGAAACATGGGTTAATGCTGGACATACACAAACAAAAATTTGGAAAGTTACCTCCATCAAAACTAAAAAACAAGCCTTTGTGGAAATCTCTTATGAATTAAAAAAATCCAAACAGGACAAGGAAATCTTTTAATAATAACCCACATTGGAAGCACCTATGAATTTTTGCCAGATGGTTTATTAATGTTTGAGTAAAAAAAAACAAAAGACTACCATGAAGAAATGGATGGCCCTATGTTTGAAAATTGATTTCAGAACATTATACAAATAAATGTCACTCCGTTATTGTTTTGGATAATGCATCCTATCACAGTCGATTGAAGGAGTAACTACCTACAACAAAGTGGAAAAAGAAGATATTTCAAAATGGCTTCATTCTAAAAATATTATCAGTCCTCTTAAATCCTTGAAGGCAGAATTACTCGTAATAGCAAGGCAACATAAAAACAAATTAAAAAAATATATTATAAACGAGATGGCTCAAGAAAAAGGAATTGAAATTCTCAGATTGGCTCCTTAATCCCATTGAACTGATCTCGTCACAATTAAAAGGATACGTTTCTCGAAACAATACAACATTTAAATTTAATGTGCGAAATTTGTTTCAGATGTAAATGGAGAACATTGGAGAAAATGCATTTATCATGTTAAAAAGGTGGAAAACTCATTTTGGAAAGTGAATATAGCAATGGAAAACTTAATAGACCCTGAACTTTTTATTATTTTTAATCTTTTATTTTAGGTACTTAAGTACTTTTAACACGTTAACTGCCTCCCATTTATTTAATGACTTTTCTCAGGACCAAAATGTATTTAATTAAAAAATTAGTTATATTGACATGTTTTGGTTAAAATAAGGTGTTATATTAAATTTTTTATACAAATTTTCCAACTTCAGTAACAAACGCGTAAACGCGTCGGTGGCACTTGGCAGTCCAATTAACACTTAATGCCATTACCGCGTTTAATATAAGTGACAAAAAATAGCAACAGGTTTTTATTAAATAAAAAAAGGAAATACAAAAAAACAAAAATCATTCATGGATAATTTTGCAACAATCCAAGCAAAATCCTGGAGTTTCTAGACACGATTGACATTCATGTCGTTTCACGTCTTCTTCCAATTTCAGAGCAGATTTTGCATTTACGTATAAGGGTACTCCCATTTTTTGACTTCCCACATTATGTCAGAATATGTTCGTCTCTGCTTATTTTGGGATAAGTTTTTTTATTACAGACAGCCTAAAATCGTACAAATTCATTTTACTTCCAGAAAAGGTATTATATAGATGGAAGGCATTTATCATGCATAATTGTAAAATGTGGATACCGATTTCTGTCGCATGGATAATACGACAGCATTTGGTCCTTCCTATCGTCTCCAGACATAAATTTATTATAATTTATTATAGGCTATGGTTTCATTTTAATAACACTGTTGGGTTCTAATTAACAGTGCTGTTCCTAAAGTGGCGCTGAGAAACAGTAACAAAGCCTACCCATAACACGAGGCTAATGGCCTTAGTAGTCGTTTCTGATGACACCAAATTAAAAAAAAATAACCTCTTTTATTTCGACTTTCCTTTATTGTATTTGGACATTCTATGGATATGTAATGGAGTTCCCTTTTGTCTTTTCACTTGGCAATCATAAAACCGTTGCTCTTGCCTTTTTTTAATTTTGCTTCTTTTATAGCACTTGCACAATTTTGACGATCTATTCCAAGTGTGCTCGAACAATTAGTTTTTGTATCCAATAGCTCCTTTGCAAGATCGTAGCTATTATAAAAATTGTCCATGTATAATGAATGACCTACGTTCTATTACTCGATTCATCAAATGAAGTACTATTTTTAAAGTATGTCTCTTTTCGTCCATATTATCAAGTGACCCAGTATAGACAGCAAACTTAGTAACAATTGGGTGTGCAAAGCATACATAGTTTTATGCCTTTTGTTTTTTATGTACTGGCGCCCTCTCCATAAAATCATAGACTCATCGAGGCTAAGTTCCCGACCAGGATGAAATACAGCTTTCATCTTCACGTTGAAAAGGTTTATGAGAAGTTTTACTTTGTACTTCGTTCAATGTCAAAGTGCAACAATTTTGTCAGAAGCATAAACTTTATTTTTATTTTTGTAAATAATATAACTTTTTTTATTCAAAATTTATTCTACGAAGTGCATATATACCATTGCCGTGACCTCATTTATATTATAGAAACTTATTTTGAAAATTACGCCTATGGAATGTGACCTTATATGCCCACTTTTACTGTACATTCTCTTTTATTCAGACTATAAGCGAGTCAAACGGCGCCCGCCAAAAAATGACGTAATACGCTAGTTCAGTGATGATGTAATTATGGTTCCACTGACAAAGTGACACTAGATTTTTTTGAGTGCGTTTTGTTCGTTTTATTTGCCTAAATTATATCGTTTTTTCGCTTTTATAAATATATTCCTAAAGTAAGTAGATAACATGCATCAAATATACAATTGTTTGGTTACCAATTACATACCTTTAAACTATTTTTTATGACCTGTAAAAAATATTTAGAAATAAACTAAAAACAGTAAAAACGTATATGTCAAATTTATTGAGGTTTTTGTTGAAAAGTTTGGTAAGAATTTAATGTCAGTGGAACCAAAATGACGTCATACTGTACTAGCGTATTAAAATGATAACATTTCATGGTAAATAATTTTTAGTTATGCGTGCACGTTAGCACGTGCCAAGACACAGCGTTTTTAAATTAGCCCAATATTAGGCATTATATGTTAATTAATGTTCAGAATTAGAGCGAAATTTGAAACATTTAAATAAAGGAATTTTTGAAAAAGTAGCTATGAAAAATCATTAAACGATTAAATTCAATAAAGCAAAAAAGAAATAAACAACTCAACCTCGCAAAAAGAATTCAATATTAATCTAATTTACAATAATAACTAATTTATTACCCTATCTGTCGTTTTATAGATGACAGCACTCTGCAGGCCAACCACATACTTTGATTACTATACTAGGCAAGAGAGAAGTCCGACACGCCCAACATAGGGCGCGGCCATTTTGAACCCTGTGACACAGTTTACAGCTAAAGAATCAGATCGCTCACTCTGCGTCGGCACTTTTGATCTCAATGTTTTAGTTTATACACTGTGCAACTCGGATAATACAATATATGACAACCGCCTATAATAAAACAGCAGTCTTCTGCGTATCCTGAATTTATATCCCTGGAGTTGATGTTATTTTGGAACTTTCAACTGGTCCCAGTGAGCTAACTGATTCTTTAGCAATAAACTGTGATTTCAAAAATAATATTCACTGACACTGACAGCAACAAGCAAAATATCAGGTGCGTTTTAATCATCCGCTTCTGCTTCCGGAATTGTCGGTTTAGTCGTTTTAACCTGTCAGATTAAAACAAGAAAACCGACAATTCCGAAGCAGAAGCGGATGATTAAAACACACCTATTAAAAATATTGCGCCAAGATGTAGGCAACACGTAATAAGGGTTCAAAATGGCGGAGTTTTCTATCTCCTTTTAAAAGCCACTCAGAAAGCTGCGCAGTGCGACCATTCTCCGTATAGTAAAAGAAAAAGTATGTGAGGCCAACATTCGGTTCTCCATATACAATGATATATAGTTATATAGATTGAATGTTTTTAAAAATACCTAACATAAGCTCATGTCCGAAATTTGTTCTTCTCGGAGCATGCCTTAAAGTAAAAATGTGGGTTATTATTTTTTACTATATTTAAAGACTGGCATTTGATTTTAAAACACATTTTTGCTAAACCAATTTCAATTAATGAGCAATTGCAAGGCAATATGGCCGCACACAATTCGACTCGCTTTGAGCAATCTTTTTTGTGTGGAGCCTAAACCGCTTTGCACCAGACATTGGATCTATATGTTGGTAGTGTCGGACGCTACTTCGACTAAAACTCCCCCCTCCTTTATTCTTGTTTCTTTCTCCTCGATGGTGAGATGAATCTATATAACTATATATCATTGACCCTTTCAAAGCCCTGTGGCAGCTATTTCGACAGGTCATTGGAGTGCCTAATAGTGTACTTGTACACAGTACTAATTTTTTCTGACTGGCAGTTATAATGTAAAAGAATTTAATAAGCCGGTCAGCCGGGCAGCCGGGCTTCGTGTAGAGACTGTAGGGGAGACAGCACACCTCTCGGCTGAAACTGAGTTAACAACGTAGCCATTATGTCACTCTCAAGACTGAAAAAAATAAGTACTGTATAGTGCTCCTGTAAAATTTATCTATGAAAATGAATTGGAAATTAGGGCAAACATTTTGACAACTTTTGTCAGCTGTCCATGTCAGGCATCTATTAACTATAATAATATGACCTGTACATTATCCCGATTCACGTATGTTACTTTTGGCACACTCAGATTTTGAAATTTTATTACCATCTGTTCATTCTAGATGTTATGTTTTATCTTTTACCATTTTACTGCTTTGTGTATTTTTTATAAAAATTTGACGAATAAGTATCTAAATGAAAATTTTTATGAATTATTTTTTTTAAATTGATCTTTTCTATATTATAGTGTTCTGAAAATGGCTTAATAGTCAAAAGCGCCTGTCGAATTAATAATTTAAAATAAAACTTACATTCTTGTAAATACCTCTCTTTGTTTTTGCTTTATCTATCAGTGTAAATACACAACTTGTGATCAACTATATTCAAACTCCAAACAACTCAATTTTTCTATATAACTTCTGTTTTCTCATTTATATTTTTAATAATTAAAAATCATCGTAAATCCATAATTTTCTAAAATAATCCCATAACAACATCCCTTAATTTTTGTTTTGAATATATGGATAGGGTAGAGTTTTAATTTAATTTTTTGTTTCAGGGTCTCAAGTTATAGAACAGGAAAGACAAAGAGTGAACGCTTTAAAACAACGGGTTCAAGAAGAAGTGAAAAGCAAGTGGGCCCAGCGAATACAAGACTGCAATTCATTGAATTCATCTGGCTCAGAAGAAACACGTTTTAGGTAAGAAATTTTTAAAATTATTGTGTACTATTTTTCGAAGCCCGATTTGTCCAATAATTTTACATTTAAAATATCTATGCCAATGGAAAAAAAGTTGTTTGAGTATAAAATTTGGATTGTGTTATAAGGTAAGACTCGATTACTCTCATCGGTATTATCACGACCCCTTTTCTATGGGCCCAAACAAGAATAGTTATATTACTGACTACCTTTCTAGTAAAAACCTACTATTAGAAACAATAAAACAACTTTATTTATAACAAATATACAAATAGGAACTTACCAAAACATTCTCATTGGGTGGCATGTTATGTTGACGCCGACTTTTAGTGATATCTGTGTATAGATATAGACAACTCATGATACAAAAAATTACAGAGGTATGATAGCCGACGAGATATCGTCGAGTTCATGCATAACGTATTGTGGTGTGGAATATGGCTATCAGATGGCCATGAGCAGAAAAAATTATTTTCGCATGCTGTTTTCGATCAGCTGATACCTCAAATTCGTAAAAGCCACGCATCTACATCACAATACGTAACCGTGACGTGGTATTAATCGGAGTAATATCAAAAAAATCAAAATTCTTTATTTTTTACTAGGGACAATATACAAAATGTATTGTGTTGTACACGTCAATATCCATAACTAAATATTAAACAAAAATAAAACTAAAATTAAAATTAGTGCAAAATACCAACTGCATGATATTCTAGTGTTATTGTGCTAGCTAGGTCGACATTTCTTAGTAAGAATGGCGTATTCACTAGGTCTGGATAAAAACCTATAATGCCATAATTTGCAGTTGGTAATTACATCAATCATACAGTTTGCAACCATTTTTACTACATAATCTTATATTAAGTAGAAACCAAACAAAAAATTAATGCAGATAGAAAAAAAAAACAACTAAAAATCTATTTATCTTATTTCTAATCCTAATTTTTCTCACGAATTTGAAATATTTAAGATTGTAACATCATCTAATGAGTAGGGCTCAATATCAGTTATCAAGATATTTCTAATGGTTGACTTGCATCTACCTACACTTTTAATATTTTTTATGTGATGTGAAAACATATAAAATTGTATGCATTTAAAATAACATCCTTTTTCAAATAGTGTGGTTTTATGCGTTGGTACTACAAAACTTATCTACTCCGCGTGTATTATGTGTATGACCAGAAATATGTCCTCTGAAGTAAACCTCATTTTTAATTACAAAATTTATATATAAATGGTCTAAGATTCGAAGTAAGGTCGACCTTCACCCATCTGTTTAATGGATGAAAGTTTCTTTTTATTATACTAAATATGTTTATAAATATACCGCAAATGGGTTGCCTAAGAAAATACGGTCCAGGCTATTTATTTTCCTAATGTTAAAAAAACGACGCCCTGTAAAATCTTCCCCAGATGCTTCGACTATGCCGAAACTTTAATCAGCTCACCGCAGGATGGTTTAAAGCTTAAGTTTAAAATTTGGTGTTTTTTTTTTCATCTGTTTTTGAGTTATCTTCAAAATTCGAAATTTGCACTGTCCCTCAAATATCTCGAATTAAGTCCATTTTAGGGTAATCATGTATAGGGACAAAATAAAAGAGAATTACGTCATAAGCAACTTTTATCATGATTCCTATACTCTCCTTATTTTATCAATGAATAGCCATATTATCTCCTGTTACCTCTGATTGGCAGTGAGACATTTTTAAAACTTTTTAGACAAGTTCAATTTTTATTGTAACATTCCGATTTATTTTAGGCCGTGATTTGTGGCGTTGGCAGTTTTTTGTTGATTATTTTTTTGTTAATTGACGCAGACTGCATGTCGATACGTTATCGCCCCAATTAGCACATAGTGAAAAAAATCATAAATTTTAATATATTTTTAGAATTGGCTTTCAACTCTGTATTATGTTTTTATCATTTAGCCAAATTATTATTGGAATAAGTTTGAATGTTTTTATACCTCACGTCGAGCTCATAATTCATTCTTTTCAACTATTAAGTATTTTATGGGTTTATAAATAATTTAGGTTAAATATTTACTGTGGTGTTAGACAAATAGCTAGTATCATAAAAATGTCATTTATGGAAATTGTTTTAATTTGCTCATTTTTAATCTGAATTGATTGAGTTGAATATTTTCAGAGTTTATCATACTAAATAAACTAAAGTATTTATAGTAGAATGTACCCAATTTAATTTACATGATTCAAAAACGGAAATGTTTTTATTAAAAGTGCTTTATTAGATAAGAATAACACTAATTTATAAATCAAAGTTCATGTTTAGATAATTTAGACAATAGTTTTGAAATCCAAAAAAGTGTAAATATACAGGATAGTCAAAATTATGAATGACCATAAAACTAATAATATTCTTTTAAAATTGTGAACTTAAAAAGATTTTTATTTTTACTTTCCTATCTGTATACAGAGTTTTCGATGGATTTTTACGTTTTGGGGTCCCCTGAATCCGTTTTGACTATTTTCGCGATGATGTCTGTGTGTCTGTGCGTGTGTGTGTCTGTGTGTGTGTCATGAACCGATACACAGAAAAACACCAAATTTTAAACTTAAGCTTTGTTCCAGCGTCCAATGAACTGATTAGATTTTGGGCAGAGTCGGAACATCTGGGGGGTACTTTATAGGTTGTCATTTTTATATTTTATGGAATATATCTGTTATTTACATTTGGAGAAGAAAATTCTTCAAATAAAAGTTACTCCTAATATTATTATCTATAATTTTTGCTCTATACAAAATTTTCCTAAAATGGTCCGTATTCGAGAAATTTGAGAAAATTGTAAATTTTGAAATTTGAAGAAAACTCAAACACGAATAAAAAAAACATTAAATTTTAAACTTAAGTTTTATTTCTGCCTGACTTGAAATGATTAGATTTTGGACAAAGTCGGAACATCTGGGGGGGTACTTTATGGGAGGCCGTTTTTATATTTTATGGAATATACCTGTTATTTATGTTTGGAGAAAAAAATTGTTCAAATAAAAGTTACTTCTAATATTATCTATAATTTCTGCCTTATGTCAAAATTTCCTGAAATGGTCCGTATTCGAGAAATTTGACAAAATGTGCAAAATTCTGATTTTTATGAAAATTGTTGAACTAAAAGTTGTTTGCGATATCGATCTCTATAATTTTTGTTTATACATGATTTTTCTAAAATGGACCGTAATGAAAAAATTGTAGGAAATTTAAATTTTTCAGTATTTTCGATTTCAATGAATATCTATAGAAAAATGTTTCGAGGTAGATGTATGTGGACAATGTATATATTTAGTTTATCCTCTAAACATTTATAGAGATGCTGCAATAGGTTGTACAAAATAACCGGAAAAGCCTATAATAACTAGATAGGAAAGTCATGTCTTGGACACATCAGATTTTTTTATCTAAACTTAGACATTTAGGCTCTAATCATCTTGAGTTTGAATTAGTTGAATTATATCTCCAAATATAGCTTTGCATAAAAAAAATTAAAATATGTCCAGCACTTGTTTTATTTAGTTTGTCTAGCTTTGTATTGTATGATGTTATTAACAATTTTTCCCGTTATAACGATGCTGGACTTTATTTATTGTGCACGAATTACCATAGACGAGTCTAACAGTGACAATTTTCCCAATTATTTGAAAGTATAAGAATCATGATTTTTTTCGACCTCAAGTTTTCGACGGATTTTTACGTGTTGGGGAATCCGTTTTGACTCTTTTCGCGATGATGTCTGTGTGTGTGTTTGTATCCACGATAACTCATGAACGGATACAAAGAAAAACACCAAAATTTAAACTTAAGCTTTATTCCGGCCTGCGGTGAACTGATTAGATTTTGGGCAGAGTCGGAACATCTGGTGGGGTACTTTATAGGGGTCATTTTTATATTTTATGAAGTATATCTGTTATTTTCATTTGGAGAAGAAAATTCTTCAAATAAAAGTTACTTCTAATATTATTCTCTATAATTTTTCTTCTATACAAAATTTTCTTAAAATGGTCCGTATTCGAGAAATTTGAGAAAATGTAAAAAAATCTAGTTTTTTATGAAAATTGTTCAAATAAAAGTTGTTTGTGATATATAATACTCTATAATTTTTGTTGCATACATAATTTCTCTAAAATTCGAGATATTTGTGAAAATGTGTAAATTTTGAATTTTGAAAAAAACTCAAAAACGGATAAAGAAAAAACCTTAAATTTTAATCTTATGCTTTATTTTGACCTGAGGTGAACTGATTAGATTTTGGGCAGAGTCGGAACATCTGGGGGTTACTTAATAGGGGGTCATTTTTATATTTTATGAAATATATCTGTTATTTACGCACGGAGTGCTCAATCGTCTGAGTGCGATGTGGACAAACCACTCGAGTTGTACAGTATATTTTTTCTACGACCCACTAACGAAAATTTGCAAATAAAAATATATTTTAGGTTATTATGACAACATAACTAATTTTAAAATAATTTATGACTTTTAATAATTTTTAAAATAAAATAAAAAAAGAAAATAGTTATTTAATTTGTCCCCATCCTAGAAGAAAATTATTTAAATAAAAGTTACTTCTAAAGGTTCGTTTACATCTGACATTTATTGCATGAGATTTATGTCTGACTGTTGTTTAGTCCAGTGTAAACACACAAAAATTTCTCTTGGAGATATATGTTTGAGTGTTTACACTGGACTGAATAACTGTCAGACATAAATCTCATGCAATAAATGTCAGATGTAAACGTACCTTAATATTATTTTTCTATAATTTTTATTCTATACAAAATTTTCCTAAAATGGTCCGTATTCGAGAACTTTTACAAAATGTAAAAAATTCTGATTTTTAAGAAAATTGTTAAACTAAAAGATGTTTGCGATATCGATCTCTATAATTTTTGTTTTTTACATGATTTCTCTAAAATGGATCGTAATGGAAAAATTGGAGGAAAAGTATAAAATTAAAATTTTTCAGTATTTTAGTTGGCAAT